CCCCCAAGTACATCCCCCAGGTACATCCCCCAAGTACATCCCCCAAGTACATCCCCCAGGTACATCCCCCAGGTACATCCCCCAGGTACATCCCCCAAGTACATCCCCCAGGTACATCCCCCAGGTACATCCCCCAAGTACATCCCCCAGGTACATCCCCCAGGTACATCCCCCAGGTACATCCCCCAAGTACATCCCCCAAGTACATCCCCCAGGTACATCCCCCAGGTACATCCCCCAAGTACATCCCCCAGGTACATCCCCCAGGTACATCCCCCAGGTACATCCCCCAGGTACATCCCCAAGGTAAACCCTCTAAGTACACCCCCTAAGTACACCCCCAGGTACATCCCCTAAGTACACCCCCAGGTACATCCCCCAGGTACATCCCCCAGGTACACCCCCTAAGTACACCCCCAGGTACATCCCCCAGGTACATCCCCCAGGTACATCCCCAAGGTACATCCCCCAGGTACATCCCCAAGGTACACCCCCCAGGTACACCCCCAGGTACATCCCCCAGGTACATCCCCCAGGTACACCCCCCAGGTACACCCCCAGGTACACCCCCAGGTACACCCCCCAGGTACACCCCCAGGTACACCCCCAGGTACATCCCCCAGGTACATCCCCCAGGTACATCCCCAAGGTACATCCCCCAGGTACATCCCCAAGGTAAACCCTCTAAGTACACCCCCAGGTACACCCCCTAAGTACACCCCCAGGTACATTCCCCAGGTACATCCCCCAGGTACATCCCCCAGGTACATCCCCAAGGTAAACCCTCTAAGTACACCCCCAGGTACATCCCCCAGGTACATCCCCAAGGTACACCCCCTAAGTACACCCCCAGGTACATTCCCCAGGTACATCCCCCAGGTACATCCCCCAGGTACACCCCCCAGGTACACACACCTCTCATTGACACCCACCCAGCATGTCTGTTTAGTCTTCTGTTGTTTTATTTGTCTTCACTGCCATTTTTGGTCTGATATGGTGTTCCAGGCTTGTGGTTTTCCTTACATTCCTTATATTACTTCACATTCCTTATCATTCCACAGTAAGTGTCGTTCTGCTGACACGAGGGTGTCTCCGGACAGAGATTTGACCCCAGTAGTGCAGCAATCAAACCAAAAATTCTCACTTGGATTTGACAAGGCTCCGACGCCAATGATGATTAGGGCTGCCCTAAAGAAGAAAGTAACCGCCCGTCAACGTGAAGTACAAGAAGATTCTGCACCAAGACAAAGCATAGCCACATCAGCTGCACTTTTCAAGAAGGACACCTATCTTGACATATCTGAGGAATCGATGGCAGCCTATCCAGCCTATCGTAGAAAAAAAAGATGCAAAAAAGCGAGTCTAGAAGGGAAACTTCCTGAATTTGAACATATGGACGTGAGTGAAACACTGTCCTCCTACACTGTGAGTGAAGGGAGTCAAAGTAGAGCGATGGAACTGATGACGATGGTGACGAAGATTGGTCCTGAAGTGCCGGTGCCCTGTCTCCGAGAGGGCAGGGGGGAAATCACTGCTGCTGATATTGACCTACTTCTCACGCTGCAGCGAAAGGTAGGTGGACTGGCTTTTTGGCAGGCATACTGTAGATCTTGAAATTAACACGAGCGTGAATTAAATTCGAAAAATGTGAGTGGTCTTTGCTTGCTTTAATTAGCTTCACACTTATGTCTCCAAATGACTAGCAACAATAAGACGGCCTCACTGCACACTTTGGATAGCGGAAATACCCACTTGAATATATACACAAACACTGTTTATTGAGCAGCAGTTGTAACAAGTATATAACAACGTCATTCAAAGAATAGGAATTACACAACAGGCATCCAGTGAGCTATCAGTGCTGGGGTCAAGAATTGTACCCACTCCTGTCAAGCTCCGGATATCAATCAGTGAACTGTTGTTGGTTTAGTTATTTTATTGCCTTTAAACTTCCTTAATGCCAGTCAACAGAGTAAACATATAAACTGTGTGTTGTTTTTACGGAAGTGCTCTATTCAGTGGTACTAAGGGGTTATATTTGCTGTTTGGTTCAATTAAGGTAAGGTTAGAGTAAGGTGAGGATGTGTATCAGTCCACTAGGGTTGGAGTGGGGAGAGTCATTTTATTGAGTATATTTTTGGCTTTGGGCAGCAGTCATATTAATTTGGAGATGCATTAATTTCCAGATATATATAGTAATATAATTATGTAGACTAGTAATTACTTCTAGGTTTCTATGCCTTTGGCTTCTTGTACATGTAATTTTACATGTTTGTAAAGATCAAAATTTTATCTAGCGAAAGGTTCCATGTATAAATTATGTCTTTCTCGACTGTGTCCTTGTAAGTACAGTTTGTAATTGTATGTAATTGTATGCATTTGTAAGTATTTGTATGTATTTGTATGTATTTGTATGTATTAGGGGTATGGATGGCCCAATCGTCTGAGGCGTCGCAACTCGCTGTGCAGAGTTGCGACCGTTGGGCACGCCAGAAACCCATGATTGTGGGTTCGAATCCCTGTTTGCCCCGATTATGTTTCTAGGTTTGTCAGCACCATACCCATGCTCGTGGGTTTCACCGAAGTGGTTAACGTCTGAGACCTGCATCACTTCGGGCTTTCCTCCCACATTAAGCTGACACGCCGTGATATGACTGGAATACTGTTAAAAGCTGCCTTATATCCAACTCACTCACCCAGACACCCACTCACTGTAGATGTATTTGTAGGTAAATATGGCCAACTGAAAGTTGTTATGTACCTCTGGAGTGATGGGTTTTGTCTCAAGTTCGAATGAGTCTTTCCACTGAGTGCTTTATGCAGTAAGTCTGTTGTTTACCTAAGCCCATCTGCAAATATTAAGCACCCCTTTCTGATCAAACTCCGATTGATGTTCGTAAGGGTACCCTCTAAGTACCCCTTAAGGATCAAGCACCCCTTTACGATCTTCTGGTGGTGAGGTTTGGGTTAGTTAACTCACCCCTTTACAATCTTCGGGTGGTGAGGTTTGGGTTAGTTAGCTCACCCCTTTACAATCTTCGGGTGGTGAGGTTTGGGTTAGTTAGCTCACCCCTTTACAATCTTCGGGTGGTGAGGTTTGGGTTAGTTAGCTCACACCTTTACAATCTTCGGGTGGTGAGGTTTTGGTTAGTTAGCTCACACCTTTACAATCTTCGGGTGGTAAAGGTTTGGGTTAGTTAGCTCATCCCTTTACGATCTTCGGATGGTGAGGTTTGGGTTAGTTAGCTCACCCCTTTACGATCTTCGGGTGGTGAGGTTTGGGTTAGTTAGCTCACCGCTTTACAATCTTCGGGTGGTGAGGTTTGGGTTAGTTAGCTCACACCTTTACAATCTTCGGGTGGTGAGGTTTGGGTTAGTTAGCTCATCCCTTTACGATCTTCGGGTGGTGAGGTTTGGGTTAGTTAGCTCACCCCTTTACGATCTTCAGGTGGTGAGGTTTGGGTTAGTTAGCTCACCCCTTTACAATCTTCGGGTGGTGAGGTTTGGGTTAGTTACCTCAACCCTTTACAATCTTCGGGTGGTGAGGTTTGGGTTAGTTAGCTCACCCCTTTACGATCTTCAGGTGGTGAGGTTTGGGTTAGTTAGCTCACCCCTTTACAATCTTCGGGTGGTGAGGTTTGGGTTAGTTAGCTCACACCTTTACATTCTTCAGGTGGTGAGGTCTGGGTTAGTTAGCTCACCCCTTAACGATCTTCAGGTGGTGAGGTTTGGGTTAGTTAGCTCACCCCTTCTAGTTTGTGTTTCCTTCAATTATCCAATGCTGCTGTGCCCATGACATTCTTCTCATTCAGTCTGAGGAAAGAAGAATTATCCTTTTTATGTTTATCACAGGATGGATTCTGGGAGTTCTGTAGTGACCTTGACCAGTTACTCGGCATCAACAGCGACATCTGCAAGAATAGTTTATTTGAAGCTGGGCTTAAGTCACTGGGTGAGAATGTCTTACAAACTTTAAAGTATTACTTACCAGGGTCCCGTTCAACAAAGCGATGAAAGTGGTAGACTGTCATAAGTCTGTGTTAAAGTGTGAAGTTATGATCATCTTAGTGCTAAAGTCACGTCCTAGAACACTGCCCTGAGTGGTCGGCATGGTGGTTAAAGCAGTTTTGACCTTGAATCCAGTATTTATGTTTGTATCTATGGCAACAATCTTCATCCTGAATCTATGTTTGTATCCATGGCAAAAATCTTAATCCTGTATCTATGTTTTTATCTATGGCAAAAAACTTAATCCTGTGTTTGAATCCATGGCAACAATCTTCATCCTGTATCTATGTTTGTATACATGGCAACAATCTTAATCCTGTATGTCTATCCATGGCAACAATCTTCATCCTGTATCTATGTTTGTATACATGGCAACAATCTTCATCCTCTATCTATGTTTGTATCCATGGCAACAATCTTAATCATCTATCTATGTTTGTATACATGGCAACAATCTTAATCCTGTATGTGTATCCATGGCAACAATCTTCATCCTGTATCTATGTTTGTATCCATGGCAACAATCTTAATCATCTATCTATGTTTATATCTGTGATCACCGTGTCCTGTTGCAGGTATGACAGTGACTGATGAGATGCTCCACCTGTTGGCCACACTCCTCGTCATCCTCAGCATCTTAGAGGCTCTCTGTCCAGAGTTATTCCCCTTGTCCTATAACAGCCTGCCCGATGTTTCTTCTCAAAAAGATAAAATTCTGAAGACTCCCCCAAAATTGAGAGACAATTCGATGCCCTCAACACTGTATGAATCGCTGAGTCGGGGGTTTAGCATCTGCCGGGACACGGACAGAAAACATCCACTTGTCTGTGGGACTCTGGAACTCGGCTCTGACTGGGTGTCGGTCGCAGCCCAGCTGCTCGGGGTTCAGAAAGAGACCAAGAGGACCATGGCTATCTCAGGAATGAAGACTTTACACCGCATGCTGAATGATTTGGGCATTTTACAGACAGAAGTCAAAATGCAGTGACATGTTGTCTTGAATTAATGGATGTGTTAGTTGGTTTTCAGCATGATTTCTATGAAACTGTATAAACTAATGCATTCTGGGAGCCAAACATTGGACTTTTTAGCCAACCTAATAACACAACAGAATCAGCATCCAGGGACGTTCCTGCTGCCTCTTACAGGTGTTGGCAACATTGTATATACTGGTGCAGCATCCAGGGACGTTCCTGCTGCCTTTTACAGGTGTTGGCAACATTGTATATACTGGTGCAGCATCCAGGGACGTTCCTGCTGCCTTTTACAGGTGTTGGCAACATTGTATATACTGGTGCAGCATCCAGGGACGTTCCTGCTGCCTTTTACAGGTGTTGGCAACATTGTATATACTGGTGCAGCATCCAGGGACGTTCCTGCCACCTTTTACAGGTGTTGGCAACATTGTATATACTGGTGCAGCATCCAGGGACGTTCCTGCTGCCTTTTACAGGTGTTGGCAACATTGTATACACTGGTGCAGCATCCAGGGACGTTCCTGCCACCTTTTACAGGTGTTGGCAACATTGTATATACTGGTGCAGCATCCAGGGACGTTCCTGCTGCCTTTTACAGGTGTTGGCAACATTGTATATACTGGTGCAGCATCCAGGGACGTTCCTGCCACCTCTTACAGGTGTTGGCAACATTGTATATACTGGTGCAGCATCCAGGAACGTTCCTGCTGCCTTTTACAGGTGTTGGCAACATTGTATATACTGGTGCAGCATCCAGGGACGTTCCTGCTGCCTTTTACAGGTGTTGGCAACATTGTATATACTGGTGCAGCATCCAGGGACGTTCCTGCTGCCTTTTACAGGTGTTGGCAACATTGTATATACTGGTGCAGGATCCAGGAACATTCCTGCGGCCTTTTACAGGTATTGGCAACATTGTATATACTGGTGCAGGATCCAGGAACATTCCTGCGGCCTTTTACAGGTGTTGGCAACATTGTATATACTGGTGCAGGATCCAGGAACATTCCTGCGGCCTTTTACAGGTGTTGGCAACATTGTATATACTGGTGCAGGATCCAGGAACGTTCCTGACACCTTTTACAGGTGTTGGCAACATTGTATATACTGGTGCAGCATCCAGGGACGTTCCTGCGGCCTTTTACAGGTGTTGGCAACATTGTATATACTGGTGCAGCATCCAGGAACGTTCCTGCTGCCTTTTACAGGTGTTGGCAACATTGTATATACTGGTGCAGCATCCAGGGACGTTCCTGCCACCTTTTACAGGTGTTGGCAACATTGTATATACTGGTGCAGCATCCAGGGACGTTCCTGCTGCCTTTTACAGGTGTTGGCAACATTGTATATACTGGTGCAGCATCCAGGAACGTTCCTGCTGCCTTTTACAGGTGTTGGCAACATTGTATATACTGGTGCAGCATCCAGGAACGTTCCTGCCACGTCTTACAGGTGTTGGAAACATTGTATATACTGGTGCAGCATCCAGGGACGTTCCTGCTGCCTTTTACAGGTGTTGGCAACATTGTATATACTGGTGCAGCATCCAGGGACGTTCCTGCTGCCTTTTACAGGTGTTGGCAACATTGTATACACTGGTGCAGCATCCAGGAACGTTCCTGCCGCCTTTTACAGGTGTTGGCAACATTGTATATACTGGTGCAGCATCCAGGGACGTTCCTGCCGCCTTTTACAGGTGTTGGCAACATTGTATATACTGGTGCAGCATCCAGGAATGTTCCTACTGCCTTTTACAGGTGTTCGCAACATTGTATATACTGGTGCAGCATCCAGGGACGTTCCTGCTGCCTTTTACAGGTGTTGGCAACATTGTATATACTGGTGCAGCATCCAGGGACGTTCCTGCCACCTCTTACAGGTGTTGGCAACATTGTATATACTGGTGCAGCATCCAGGGACGTTCCTGCTGCCTTTTACAGGTGTTGGCAACATTGTATATACTGGTGCAGCATCCAGGGACGTTCCTGCTGCCTTTTACAGGTGTTGGCAACATTGTATATACTGGTGCAGGATCCAGGAACATTCCTGCGGCCTTTTACAGGTGTTGGCAACATTGTATATACTGGTGTAGGATCCAGGAACATTCCTGCGGCCTTTTACAGGTGTTGGCAACATTGTATATACTGGTGCAGCATCCAGGGACGTTCCTGCTGCCTTTTACAGGTGTTGGCAACATTGTATATACTGGTGCAGCATCCAGGGACGTTCCTGCTGCCTTTTACAGGTGTTCGCAACATCGTATATACTGGTGCAGCATCCAGGGACGTTCCTGCTGCCTTTTACAGGTGTTGGCAACATTGTATATACTGGTGCAGGATCCAGGAACATTCCTGCGGCCTTTTACAGGTGTTGGCAACATTGTATATACTGGTGTAGGATCCAGGAACATTCCTGCGGCCTTTTACAGGTGTTGGCAACATTGTATATACTGGTGCAGCATCCAGGGACGTTCCTGCTGCCTTTTACAGGTGTTGGCAACATTGTATATACTGGTGCAGCATCCAGGGACGTTCCTGCTGCCTTTTACAGGTGTTGGCAACATTGTATATACTGGTGCAGGATCCAGGAACATTCCTGCGGCCTTTTACAGGTGTTGGCAACATTGTATATACTGGTGCAGGATCCAGGAACGTTCCTGACACCTTTTACAGGTGTTGGCAACATTGTATATACTGGTGCAGCATCCAGGGACGTTCCTGCTGCCTTTTACAGTTGTTGGCAACATTGTATATACTGGTGCAGCATCCAGGAACGTTCCTGCTGCCTTTTACAGGTGTTGGCAACATTGTATATACTGGTGCAGCATCCAGGGACGTTCCTGCCACCTTTTACAGGTGTTGGCAACATTGTATATACTGGTGCAGCATCCAGGGACGTTCCTGCTGCCTTTTACAGGTGTTGGCAACATTGTATATACTGGTGCAGCATCCAGGATCGTTCCTGCTGCCTTTTACAGGTGTTGGCAACATTGTATATACTGGTGCAGCATCCAGGAACGTTCCTGCCACGTCTTACAGGTGTTGGCAACATTGTATATACTGGTGCAGCATCCAGGGACGTTCCTGCTGCCTTTTACAGGTGTTGGCAACATTGTATATACTGGTGCAGCATCCAGGAACGTTCCTGCTGCCTTTTACAGGTGTTGGCAACATTGTATACACTGGTGCAGCATCCAGGAACGTTCCTGCCGCCTTTTACAGGTGTTGGCAACATTGTATACACTGGTGCAGCATCCAGGGACGTTCCTGCCGCCTTTTACAGGTGTTGGCAACATTGTATATACTGGTGCAGCATCCAGGAATGTTCCTACTGCCTTTTACAGGTGTTGGCAACATTGTATATACTGGTGCAGCATCCAGGGACGTTCCTGCTGCCTTTTACAGGTGTTGGCAACATTGTATATACTGGTGCAGCATCCAGGGACGTTCCTGCCACCTCTTACAGGTGTTGGCAACATTGTATATACTGGTGCAGCATCCAGGGACGTTCCTGCTGCCTTTTACAGGTGTTGGCAACATTGTATATACTGGTGCAGCATCCAGGGACGTTCCTGCTGCCTTTTACAGGTGTTGGCAACATTGTATATACTGGTGCAGCATCCAGGGACGTTCCTGCTGCCTTTTACAGGTGTTCGCAACATCGTATATACTGGTGCAGCATCCAGGGACGTTCCTGCTGCCTTTTACAGGTGTTGGCAACATTGTATATACTGGTGCAGCATCCAGGAATGTTCCTGCTGCCTTTTACAGGTGTTGGCAACATTGTATATACTGGTGCAGCATCCAGGGACATTCCTGCCGCCTTTTACAGGTGTTGGCAACATTGTATATACTGGTGCAGCATCCAGGAACGTTCCTGCTGCCTTTTACAGGTGTTGGCAACATTGTTTATACTGGTGCAGCATCCAGGGACGTTCCTGCTGCCTTTTACAGGTGTTGGCAACATTGTATATACTGGTGCAGCATCCGGGGAAGTTCCTGCCACCTTTTACAGGTGTTGGCAACATTGTATATACTGGTGCAGCATCCAGGGACGTTCCTGCTGCCTTTTACAGGTGTTGGCAACATTGTATATACTGGTGCAGCATCCAGGAACGTTCCTGCTGCCTTTTACAGGTGTTGGCAACATTGTATATACTGGTGCAGCATCCAGGAATGTTCCTACTGCCTTTTACAGGTGTTGGCAACATTGTATATACTGGTGCAGCATCCAGGGACGTTCCTGCTGCCTTTTACAGGTGTTGGCAACATTGTATATACTGGTGCAGCATCCAGGGACGTTCCTGCCACCTCTTACAGGTGTTGGCAACATTGTATATACTGGTGCAGCATCCAGGGACGTTCCTGCTGCCTTTTACAGGTGTTGGCAACATTGTATATACTGGTGCAGCATCCAGGAACGTTCCTGCTGCCTTTTACAGGTGTTGGCAACATTGTATATACTGGTGCAGGATCCAGGAACATTCCTGCGGCCTTTTACAGGTGTTGGCAACATTGTATATACTGGTGCAGGATCCAGGAACGTTCCTGACACCTTTTACAGGTGTTGGCAACATTGTATATACTGGTGCAGCAGCCAGGAACGTTCCTGACACCTTTTACAGGTGTTGGCAACATTGTATATACTGGTGCAGCATCCAGGGACGTTCCTGCTGCCTTTTACAGGTGTTGGCAACATTGTATATACTGGTGCAGCATCCAGGAACATGAGGGGAACGTTTCTGTTTCTGCTTGTCCGCCTCCACTGCTTGGGGTCTTTTCCTGAAGTTTATACGGTTGTAGTTGGTTGAAATATATCATTAATGTTACTTTGTTTCATTTTGTCCCTATGTGGGACATCAGACTTGATTTTGTAATGTTATGACAATGTAAGGACTGAACAAACAAGCAGACGCAACACAACGTGGCGTGACGTGACGTGACGTGACGTGACGTGACGTGACGCTGACCGACTTCAGTAGTTTCCCTTTGATCAAGGGCAAATGATCATGCTGGCGGACCAATCGATTGCTGAAAGAGGATCACTGACAAAGTTATTTTTGTACTGTGAAAAAATGAGTTGTTTTACAACAATGTGTTTGAGAAGTCAGTAATAGAGGTATAACAGTTTCTTATTATGGGAAAATAATTGTTACATTTTTGGACACGATCCATCCTTTAATGCAGCATATTTAATTGTTTGTGATGCACACGAGTGTAATGCCAACCTCATTAAAATATGAAGATGTGAGGATTACGGGTAAACATCAGAACGACCTTTCATCCAACCAATCAGTGCATCGCTTACTAGATCAGGAAAGTATCAGTTGAAATGTGTTTTCTCATCATGCAACCTCAAAATCTTAACACAGTTTATTCCTAACAACAATGAAGGGCTGTACGACTGATTGCATCAAAAGCATCGTCTTGCTCTTGCTTCAATGGGATAACATTTGAAACGGGAGAGACTTTCCAAAATCCATCGGAATTACTACCATTCAATCGCAGCCATCTGTTAAACATTCCTGAATTTTCATTTGTTCAGTTTTCAAATTTGAATCAATATTTTTCAAAGCGTAGTTTTGCATGGATGATGCCAGTAAGAAGCTATGCTGCCATAAAGCTCGAGAAAGCTGCTCTCAGATTGGCTAATGTCGACTTCGTGTTTGTCATTTCATTGGTTGGTGAAAGTTTGCAAAAGGTCATTCTGACATGACCTGTAATAGAATGTCCTCAGATCTTTGTTTAGAAGGAGTGAGCACCAATATCTGATTTTATTGAGATTGATGTAATGCGCACCCTCCGATCTTGTGTACAAGTTTCAGGATTAAACTACTTACATTGTATTGCTTCCGTTGAATGCACAGGAACAAACTTGGTCAATTTAAATGAGAATTTTGTTGTGAAGGTTTCTAGACATGATGAGTAACAAGTCTGTGGTATTTTCTGTGCTGATATTTCTTTTATACACAGAGATTAAGTAATTTATGTTATAACTGAAAACATTAGAAATTGCGCGTAGTTACTTTGTCTGGAGTCAACACTTACAGAAATGTTGCAGCCTTCTTATTTGAAGACCAAATAAAAGAAATTATTAAAAAGTCTTTGTATTGTTGGTCTCCTGCGCCCTGTTGCTAAGGTAATCTAACTCCCATACAATAACATAGACTTACGACAGTCGTAGTGCTAAGGTTATCTAACTCCCATACAATAACATAGACTTACGACAGTCGTAGTGCTAAGGTAATCTAACTCCCATACAATAACATAGACTTACGACAGTCGTAGTGCTAAGGTAATCTAACTCCCATACAATAACATAGACTTACGGCAGTCATAGCGCTAAGGTCGCTTTGTTGCAACGGGGCCCTGAACAAGTTATGAATGTGTCTGTTTATCCATGACATAGAAATGATGGAGTTCTGGGTGTTGAGTAGAAAGTCCTGTAGAGCAGTAATTGAGTTTAATATTTTGTATATGCAGGTTTTTTTCAGACATATTTTTTTGTTATTTTCATCTGTTATTATTGATGTCTTTCATATTATTCATAGATAATTTTTACCATAGATGCTTTGATTGTTTTCAGTATGTACAACAGGTGGTAGTATAGCTCACCTGAACAAAGTCTAAGTGAGCCTATGTCATGGCTTGTTTCCCCCTGAAAATTTTCCCCTTAGCGACGACTTAGTGGATCGGGTTGTCAGGTTTAACCACTAGGCTACCCGACCGACCCTAAAATTGAAGAAAAGAGAAGAAAACATTCACAAAAAATTCTGTTTATTTGCGATGTCAGTTGAACTCAAGAGTGACGATTTCTAGATGGATGACGCTTCACAACGTTCCTGATGAGTGAATATTTTGTAGTGCTTTTGCTACTTGTAGACAATACAGATATATGTTGTTTTTGTAGTCCTTTTTTGTTTTTTTCAATTTTGTGACAATTTGTGGCCGCTATCTGAATGTGAGTGAGGCCAGCATTGTTTGATGAATCTGTGTTAGAAAATATTCACTGTGATGTTCTACTCTTTGAATCATTTATTTATCTAGATATTTCATGTTTAGCTAATTATATTTTTTTAACTTTTTGGATATTTAATAGAATAAAAGTAATCAACTTTTCAAATATGGTTTTCTTTAATGAGTATTGACTTTGAAGTAGTGATGTTTTCAAGCGGACTTGTAGTCAATCACTGGATTTTCTGGTCCAGACTCGATTATTTACAGACCACCATCATATAGCTGGAATATTGCTGAGTGGGGCATTAAACAACAAACCAACCAACCAATTGCGTGGATTGATGCTCATGTTGTCAATCACTGGATTGTCTGGTCCAGACTCGATTATTTACAGACCGCCGTCATATAGCTGGAATATTGCTGAGTGTGGCGTTAAACAACAAACAAGCAGGCAAGAAACAAACAAGTACTTGCAGAGTTCAGTCCCTTGTCTGTGTCAAGAACAGCTAATCTTTATGGTGAAGAGGCATTCATAGAGTTTGCAATGGATCAAAAATTCTTCTTGTGGGCACACTTAATTGTAGTCTTGTGGGCACACTAAATTGTAGAGGACATACTGTAGAGTACTTAAATATGCTTTTGAGTGCCTCAGTAAACTCATGAAATGGATAGATTCCAGGTTAGTGATATAGCGAGTCTGGTTTATATGCCGCTTTTAGCAATGTCATGCCTTGGACACCAGAAATGGGCTTCACACATTGTACCCATGTGGGGAAAAGAACCCAGGTCTTTGGCTGGATGAGCAAATGCTTTAAATACTAGACTATCCCACCGCCCCGATTCTGGGTTAGAATTGGTCCCCAGCAACCTATGACGGTCGTAAGAGGCACCCAAATGGTGGCCAGACATGGTGACTTGCTTTATTGCGCCATTGTACCCCATCAGCGTGGACGGTTGATCACTGGACTGACTTTCAGTTTAACTCCTTCACTCTCCTCACAGTTTAATCTTGGCTCCAGGACCAGAAAGGTGGCCTAGTCATCTAAGTCGCCGCAATACGCTGGGCAGAGTTGCGTCCCTTGGGCACGCCAGAAACCTATGATTGTGGGTTCGAATCCCGGTTTGCCCCGAATTTGTTGCTAGGTTTGTCAGCACCATTCCTGTGCTCATGGGTTTTTCCATAGTGGTAATCCATCTCACTCATTCACTACAAAACAAGTTAAAAAGTATGTTTCTTTTTAAATACATTTTATTGCATGTTTTACAAAATGTACATTTATGAAACATTTTTACAGCTCTCAATCACATGCTAACCATAGACTCATTATTTACACTCAAACATTGAATTGTTGAATCACTGATCATGTACACTCAAACAGTTGAATCACTGATCATATATATTCTAACAGTTGAATCATTGAATCTCTGGGTTTCTCGATGTGATATCCTAGAATATCTATTGTCACCACGTTAGGGCTACAATGATATCGAGGGTGGCAATAGCACTATGTCATTCCCAAGATACAACATGTATTGTGCTACCCTATGATATAGTGACATGACAATATGCAGAGTTGCATCCCTTGGGCATGCAGGATCCTATTGTTTAAATCTCATTACCTATTATTATGATCCTTGGTAAATCAGCAGATTGTGGATCTAACCAAATTTGTAAACGTTACTTTAGGCTCTTGTGCCCCTCAAACGGGCATGGCTGTCGTAGGGTCTGGTGACAATATTCTGATAATCTGTGAGTGCACTGACATTAATTCTAGGGCCTGTCCCCCATTGCTCCTGCCTCTTGTATCACCTTGTGAATTGTAAACCTAAAGTTGGGTGTTTCCATGTAACTTGTTTATTGGTCATTGATTTTGTGTGAGCATTGACTGATTTCACACTTTCGTTCTGTATGTTCCCATATCTGGGTTAACACTTTGCATTTCAATCTTGAAATCACATCATAACATCTAGAAAAATGTTACATAATACATGATGACAATTGTGAAATCAGACATCAAATATCATGATGTACTACGGCCAGAGCATTTCTCACACACCTCATGGGATTTGAACTATGGACATTGGGCTAAAAAAATAATAGTCTTGCTTCTCAGGCACAGCCCACACCCACATGAAGTCCGCCGCATGATTTGTTTTTATTTCAATTTAAAAAAAATCCTAATACTTAAACACAATGCGATCTAATATAGCACACAGTTACTTCCCTTTACATGTAAACTGCTTTACTGGTCATGGCGGCCATAGGAGTTTGTATGTTTGTTTATGTTGGGAGGCTCTTTCCCAGGTTGATGGTACACAACTGTTTATTTGGTTACATACTAGTTTGAACAAGCGAAAAAAACCAAAAAAACGCCCACCCATCCGCCCGCCCACACTATATTTTCAAAAGTCATTGATTCTTTTATTTTCTTAAGCCTTGTATAGATCCGAGATTCAGCAGCACAATACCCCAGTGAGATGATGGACATGTATACGCCTCCGTATATGCCCCAATATTGTCAGATTCAGTCACATTTTCTCAATAAATCACACAACTCATCTCCCCCTGTGAATATTTACGACAACACAGGACGTCTTACATAACCATATGAACACCTGAGATGCAGAGTATCTATCCTCCCATGATACACCTACCTCACAATAAGATTCTAGAAATGATACTATAACAATATTTATTTGCACAATTTATGCTTAAGTCTCCCATTTTCCACAAGGAACTGGTTGATAAAAGTCGTTATCACCCAGTTTTTGTTTAAATCATTAGTTATTTTGGCTTATCAAATAGTATTCAAAGAATCCTCAAAATAAAATTAGATACATGGGATGTGATACATTGATGCCCCAGCATCAGGTCACCCCAGCATCAGGTCGACCCAGCATCAGGTCACCCCAGCATCAGGTCGACCCAGCATCAGGTCACCCCAGCATCAGGTCGCCCCAGCATCAGGTCACCCCAGCATCAGGTCGACCCAGCATCAGGTCGACCCAGCATCAGGTCGCCCCAGCATCAGGTCGCCCCAGCATGCATCAGGTCGCCCCAGCCAGAGTAAACATGTTCCCTCAACCCCCCCACACACAACACAACATGACCTGACTGAACTTGGCTGAATCAGAGGTGTACAACTCACTACAATATCTCTGTCACACACGTAGTGACTTGCAGGCCTGCAGGACTCACTCAACCAGACATACAGCCTCCCGAGAAATGGAGTGGAATGTTCACAGAATACACATCAGTTTCCCTGCAACATTCAAGTCCATTCAACATTGTCGCACACTCTTTCTCCTGAAGCCAACTTCATGTTCATCCTATCATACCAGGTATTTTCAGCTATCAAAATCAAGACCATCTAGTTCCTCCTTGAGCTCCGTGTTGACCTGTGTCTCGATGCTGGATGGTACAACGTCCAGACAGATGTCGTATTGCTGGTCAAGACCAAGGTAGGCGTCACTCATCAGGTAGAGGGTGTAGATGACGCGCCCCACCGTCTCCGGGGTGTACAGAGCGAGCTGGGCCTTGGAGCGACTCCGCACGTACCCCATCCGCTTGAGGGCGATGAGTTCCTTGGCCTCCACCTCGCCCACAACCAGCATCCAGCCTTCGTCCTTCGGCTTCGGGAACCGTGGACTGTGGGCCTTAGTGTCGTATTTCTGAAGTAACAAATTATTGGCTTTTAATGAGAGAGTGAGTGAGTTGGGTTTTATGTTGTCAAACATTATCAGTTACTGTAAATCTTGAAATTAACACAAGCGTGAATTAAATGAAAAAAAATATGGTTTTTGCTCCCATTAATTAACTTCGCATAGTTAATTTGGATAGTGGAAATTCCGACTTGAATATATACGCAAACACTGTTTATTGAGCAGCAGTTGTAACAAGTCCAAACAATGTCATTCAAAGAATAGGAATTAAACAACAGGCATCCAGTGAGTTATCAGTGCTGGGGTCGAGAGTTGTATCCACTCGTGTCAAGCTTATTGACACTGTCTCCGCATATCAATCAGTGAACTGTTGTTGGTTCAATTATTTTATGGCCTTTGAACTTCTTTAATGCCAGTCAACAGAGTAAACATATAAACTGTTTATTGTTTTACGGAAGTGCTCTATACAGTGCTGTTTGCTGTTTGCCGTTTGATTGGATTAAGGTAAATATGTATGTATCATGGGAATGGGGTGGGAGGAGTCGCATTGATTTAGAGTTGCATTTTTTGCTAGGGGTCAGCAGTCGTATTAATTTGGAGATGCAATAATTTCCAGATTTACAGCATCTGTTGGAATAACAGATTTTGACAAAGGACCCTGTGGAGGCAGCTTCCCCCAGTGTCTCAATGAACATGTCTCAACGAACATGTCTCAACGAACATGTCTCAACGAACATATCTCAATGAACATGTCTCAACGAACATATCTCAATGAACAGGCTGATGCTGACAAAAGCATGTTCATGACGATGTATTTGACATCTTCATCTGCTCCATTATGGACATCTACGTGCACACTGGGCTACTTGATGTAGTACAGGACTCACCCGGGTCTTGTTAACTCGGGCCAGGTCGACCTGCAGCACATACTCCTGGTCAGCATGGACCTTGATCCAGTCTGCGTCTCGCTGCCGCCCACCTGTAACAGATACATCATCATCATCATCAGCATCATCTTCATCATCAACATGATCATCACTGTCATAAACAGGGTCATCATCGTCAACATCATCATTGTCATCATTATCAACATGATCATTACTGTCATAAACATGTAGGGTCATCATCGTCAACATCATCATCATCATCATCAACATGATCATCACTGTCATAAACAGGGTCATCATCATCAACATCATCATCATCATCATCATCAACATCATCATCACTAACATAAACAGGGTCATCATCGTCAACATCATCATCATGATCATTATCATCAACATGATCATCACTGTCATAAACAGGGTCATCATCGTCAACATCATCATTGTCATCATCATCAACATGATCATCACTGTCATAAACAGGGTCATCATCGTCAACATCATCATCATCATCATTATCATCAACATGATCATCACTGTCATAAACAGGGTCATCATCGTCAACATCATCATTATCATCATCATCAACATGATCATCACTGTCATAAACAGGGTCATCATCGTCAACATCATCATTATCATCATCATCAACATGATCATCACTGTCATAAACAGGGTCATCATCGTCAACATCATCATTGTCATCATCATCAACATGATCATCACTGTCATAAACAGGGTCATCATCGTCAACATCATCATCATCATTATCATTAACATGATCATCACTGCCATACACAGGGTCATCATCGTCAACATCATCATTGTCATCATCATCATGATCGCCCAGCTAACACATAACATTTTCAAAACAATTTCAAAAGGTTTCATTGTAGTTTTTCAAATTGTTTTTGTCAAAACATTTTATTAATGTGTTAGAAATGTATTCAAAATGTTATTGAAATGTTTTCAAAATGTTATTCAAGAACATCATGCCATAACATAGTCAAAACTATTTCATAACATGTTGTTACAATGTTTTCAGCACGTTGCAGAAATGTTTTGCCAGAACATATTTAATGAAATGTTATCATGTTTCAAATACATTGTGTACACATATGTAAAATCATCCGAATAAGGTGTAAATGTTTTATAATTATTCAAATTGTTATTGAAATGTTTTTTAAAATGTTATTCAAGAACATCATGCCATACCATAGGCGATGCTGTTTCATAACATGTTATTGCAATGTTTTCAACACATTGCAGAAATGTTATGCTAGAACATATTTTCATGAAATGTCATCGCCATGTATTAAAGTGAGTACCAACCCCAACAGCCTATAGTTGAACACAAGTTCCCCAGCTAGCACACTCCGTTTTTATAATGCTGGGGATTGGTAATGCAGTAATAGAACATTTTCACAACATTTACAGTTTAATCTGTAGACTAAATGTCTAAAGAACATACAGCAGACATGAGTAAGACAAAACTTCACAGGATTTGTTTGTTGCTGATCACAGATAGTGTCACAGGATATTACATTTAGTCGCGCATATTTTGCGGGGGCGTGAGAGAGACCGTTGAGAAGTGAATAAATATAGATCTATGGTACAAGACACATTCTCTCACATTTAATTATTTTTCATTACTAGCCTCAGTGGCTGAGGGGGTTAGATGATAACATTCCCGAAAGCCTAACAACTGCATCAGACACCAACCAACACATTACGCAGTGATCGAAGTGAAAACTTAATTGTGCATATGCGGAAAACATATTCACTTATGTACTTGAACAATCATCAAATTCACATCAGCAATGAATGACTTTTACCCGTGTTGAATGCAGAGCGTAACATGTATTCCAGAAGTCAGCTTGTGGCATATCATATTGTGTAGAAATACAGAGGGCCACTGCTGTACTCAAGTTGGCGAATACAACCAGGTGTTTCTCGTGGGCCGACCTCGTAATGTTAATGTCACAGTTTGTTTGATACCAAGCTCTTTTCAAACTTGATCTGTCGTTGCAATCCATTGTTAGTAATAGTTGCATTATTGAATGTTGCATTGAAATGAAGTCTACAGTGCATAAAGGCCGTCGTGTAAACAACCATGAAAATACATGTAGCCGCGCATAGACTTGCACACCACATGATATTTGAATACTGTACAGAACATTATTCATTTCATGAATGAAGACCTTCAGTCATTCACAAAGGACGTTTGCAAGTGGGCAGTTTAGTTTCCTATCCCATGTCAGCCTGTATGTGTATGGACAGGCCCATGGGCGACATAGTTTAAATTCTGAGATTTCGGAACATTATTTTTTCATTTTTTCTTTCTACGTATGTCCCCATGAAAACAGCATGTAGAATCTTGGAAGTACGTTGGACAGAGACTGGCCACAGCATGGAGAGTTTCTGAACAAATGGGTTTCCAGAATTGAAATAATGTTCTGAACCTATATAATATATTTCATCTTTGGATTAACAATATAATGCTTATTGAATATCATTCAAGTTATAACATTGTTATAATGTGGAACATTGTTGTTTTCGCTGCATTCCAGGAAATACACACAGAAATGTTAGGTGTATTGAAGAATACACCAAATACACCAAGGGCTGTGTATGATGCAAACTAAGTGCAGGAACTGTTGTTAAATACCACGAGCTACTAGATCAAGTATCTTTTGATGGTTTTGTGGCTTTAAATCAATGCTAAGAATTGGATTTGTATCTGCACTCAGCCACTGACCGTTAGGTGGGTTGGGGTGTTCCTGGTGTACCACTGTTTGTATTCAATGTGATGCGTGATACTGTAATACTATCATAGTTACCACAAGAATTTATCTGTCTCTGAATGAATATTAAAATATGTTTCCACCAAACACCTGCAAATATATTATTGTTAGAATACTGATAAAACATTATCTTAAATGGAATATTGTCTCTTCAGAATATTGTATCTATACTATATATGTTAGAGTGCACTGTGACGTCAAAACAGCGTAAAAGTATAACTGTACTCTGGAAAATCACATGTGTGAAACCGGTTGCGTAAATTATACAGCTCATCTTTTGACTTTTGTATTTTATCTATATCTTACTTGAACCATGAAGAACTAAAATATTTTTCAACCAAATGATCTGGTTCGAGAACTGACGATGACAACACGAAAAACGGCAGAAAACACGCAATTTGAAGAGCAGTTGTTGACAAGTCTAGCCTCTATTAATGGCAAACTGTCACAGATTACAACCCTAATGGATACGATGAACACCTCTTTGAGAGAGGTGGCTCGCACTAGAGGAGAGGATTTACCATTGCATGGTGCAAGATCGGAATACCAGGATTCATTGAAGGAAACAGCTGAAAACCTACAGAAAGGGGTGAGTGACATTGTCTCGGCTAATGAAGCAAACCTCATTGAAGACTCAGCTAAAATAAGAATAGAAAGTAAAGCGTCTGAGATACAAGTATCAATGAATCAAGTACGGAGTTCCATTCTAACGAAACGGAAACAGGCATACTGGGGGTATGTAAACATTTCCAATCTGGCAGAAACGTAACAACGCGTGGCGTCTGATGTTGATTAATGAATAATTTGCATTCTCAGTAGGAAGTGACAACTTGGAGACGATGGCTTGCGGTATATACAGTTTTACTTTATATATGTAGATATATACATACAAAAGACACTATGTGCCAGGTCAGCACATAGTGGTTGTGGTTGTGGTTGTTGTCTAGGTGCCCCGGAGCACCCAGCCTAACCCTAGCTAGGCTAAGGGTAAGACCTTTCTTTTTTTTACTCTCCTTCTTTCTGGACCAAGGCTTATATAGTCAAGGTCACCTGACATTTAGTAAGTAATAAATATAAATGTAAACAGTAAATCATCAGTGACATACTTGCACATCCTGTTCAGGATGGCAGATGGTCGATATACACAAAAATGGGGATTAACAAATAGGATTAGCATCTTATAAATAACAGCAACTAAGTGTTTCCAGGCATATAGATGTCATGGCTCCAGGGTAATGATCCTTTGCAATTAAATGTTCTTCAGACGATGGGCGTCGTAAATCAGTCGCTATGACACACGTATCTAAAATGGCTCTGTGGGGAAAAACGGATCATACCTCCTAAATTCCAAATCAAGCCTATAAAGGGGGAACCCGACACACAGTGTGTCCTTAGAGAAAAACGTGCCATGGATTCCATGAAAACTGTAATTGAACTTTTCAGACTGCGTGTGGAGTCCCATAAACTGAAATTCAAAGAAATGGATGCAGAAATCATTGAAGAACTTGTGAAAACAACAAAGGGAAAAGTACTTGAATTGTTGCAGAAAGAATGGGACAGAGTATGTCAGATTGAAGAAGAAATATCTAACAAGCGATTAGAGAAAAACAAGAAACGGCATACAATCTATACCTTAAACGTCAACTCAAAAGAAGAAAATCCCTTCATAAAAAATCTAAGAACTGAGGGGAAATCTTATGCTGACGTGACAAAAATAAAACCACCCTAATCACATTCTGTGAAACTGACTCTCAGAGATCCTCCAACACAGAACTGTACATTCAGAAAAAGCACAACGTCCCGGGGATGAAGACCCACCCGAACAATCAACATCACTCAAGGCAGACCTTCAAACCAGGGGTGACAGCAAGGCCAAGGTCGCCAAAGAAGCCCAAACCATAAACAATGTCCCTTACTCATTAGCACGTAGAATCTGCACAATCGTGCACAATACAAACTCGATGAACTGAGGGAATCACTATTAGAAAGAAACTATCCTAGAAAAATAGTGGAAGACGCAATAAACAAGGCTAAATCACAAAACCGTTGTGATCTTTTAAAACCTAAAGATAAACCTAACGAGAGTGTTCTCCCTTTTGTTACAACCTTTAATCCCCAAAACTCGGAAATATTTTGAAGTGTTCGGGAATCACTGTATTCCTTAAATAAGTGTAAAGAACTAAAACAAAAAATATCACAAAATAAACTTATTAAAAGTAAAAGACAGTCAAAATCTGAAACAGATTCTTACTAGGGCTTCTTTCTCACATGGAAAACAAGAATGTAAAACAGTAAAACAAAAGTGTAACAGACCAAATTGTGGTACTTGCCCTCATGTTTTACAATGTTCTTCTTTTACATTCAAAGATGGGAAAAACTTTCTATGTTCGTGAAAATATGAATTGTGCTTCGAAAAACTTGATTTATGTCATACAATATGCTGGATGCAAGGCCGAATTCATTCGACAGACAGGGGACACCCTAAGAGCAAAAGTGAGAGTCCACCGACAACAAATAAGGGACCCGGCCTCTTGTCGATGTATCCCACTCAGTCAACACATTGAGGGTCCACCGACAACAAATAAGGGACCCCTCTTGTCGATGTATCCCACTCAGTCAACACATTGAGGGTCCACCGACAACAAATGAGGGACCCCTCTTGTCGGTGTATCCCACTCAGTCAACACATTGAGGGTCCACCGACAACAAATGAGGGACCCCTCTTGTCGATGTATCCCACTCAGTCAACACATTGAGGGTCCACCGACAACAAATAAGGGACCCCTCTTGTCGGTGTATCCCACTCAGTCAACACATTGATCAGTGTGCCTGGAATAAAACACCAAATTTTGTGATATTCCCATTTTACAAATGTGACAATGATGCATTGAGAAAGATAAAAGAAAGTTATTTTAGTAATACTTTCAAACCAAAATTAAATGGTGTGAAATAATTGAATTATTTTATACAATTATATGTATTGTACATTTTACTGCCACTACAATACTTAATTATTTCTGTATGTGTTGTATGCCTGCCCTATCGTCTTATGCCTGTCTTATTGTGACGTCACAAAGTTAGATTGCACTTTATATACATTTGTGTATATCAAATACCTGCTTTAGATTTCTTCAGAATTTGTTTTGTTTCAGAAAAGTGGATCAAGGCAAAACCAAAGAAAGAAGGTTCTGACAATCAATAATTTGTAAAGGTGTGAAAGTTTTCTAAAATTATTAAAATCTCCACAGAACAGAGTCTTGAAGTTCTTTGTTGACTGAATGTTGACTGAATGTGGAATGGATTACCATGTCGGTCCTTGGCATGGATTACCATGTCGGTCCTTGGCATGGATCACCATGTCGGTCCTTGGCATAGGTCACCATGTCGGTCCTTGGCATGGATTACCATGTCGGTCCTTGGCATGGATCACCATGTCGGTCCTTGGCATAGGTCACCATGTCGGTCCTTGGCATGGATTACCATGTCGGTCCTTGGCATGGATCACCATGTCGGTCCTTGGCATAGGTCACCATGTCGGTCCTTGGCATGGATTACCATGTCGGTCCTTGGCATGGATCACCATGTCGGTCCTTGGCATGGGTCACCATGTCGGTCCTTGGCATGGATTACCATGTCGGTCCTTGGCATGGGTCACCATGTCGGTCCTTGGCATGGGCCACCATGTCGGTCCTTGGCATGGATTACCATGTCGGTCACTGGTATTGTGTTTTCTGCAGCGCATGCCTGGAGGGTGTACAGTCTGGGACTATTTGTCGTAATCATTTGTATCTTGTATAACAGTGACTGGGTGTTGTACGTTGTGAACATTGGCAGCAACACACTGAGATTCTTCAACACTCTGGTTCGTTTTCAAAACATTCTGGAAACGTTATAAACAAATGTTCCCAGAAAATGTTTCGTAAATTGTTTTAGGGAATGTTTTTAAAACATTTTCGTGTTATTTGGGCATCACTGTCGTAAACATGATCATCATCGTTAATATGATGATCATCATCAACATGATCATCACTGTCATAAACAGGGTCATCTTCATCAAAATGGTCATCACTGTCATTAACAGGGTCATCTTCGTCCAAATGGTCATCACTGTCATAAACAGGGTCATTTTCGTTAAAATGGTCAGCATCATCAACATTGTCATCGTTGTCATCGTTGTCAGTATGTCACTGTCATCAACATTGTGATCATTACCAAGCCATCATCATCACGGAGACCGCCTCCCGGGTAGAGCGTCTGTCCGGTGAGCGGAAGACCCGGGGTTCAATCCCCGGCCATGTCATACCAAAAGACATTAAAAGATGGTACTTGTTGTTACACTGTCTGGCGCTCGGCATTAAGGGGCTACAACAAGGACTGGTTGGCTCGGAGTCAGTATACTGTGTCTGAGTGGGGTATTCGTGTTAAACTGCTGCATGGTATATCAGTGAGATAGCCCATAAATCGGCATCAGTCCACACGCACGCACGCACGCTATATAAGTGCAACAATCTTGGACGCGACGGTAAACCCAGTTTCACCTCACCTCACCTCATTATCAACATCTCTGCATAAAGTTACATCGTCACTGCCACTGTCACAACATATTCCCCATTATGTTCATTCCTCCTCATCCTCATCAGCATCAACATCATCATCATCATCATCATCATCAGCAGCAGTAGTACAATCAACAAATTCCAGACATCCGGATGTAGGCGTTGATGCTACCAGAGCAAGGAATATGGAACAGTTCCCCGAAATGAAACATGCCCTACCTGTGTTGGACAGATTGACCATTCTCTCCTGCTCCTTCCCTTGTGACCCTTCCCAGAATCCCTTGACCTTGATAGAGACCTGGATTTGTGGCAGACGACTCAATACGAGGTACACCTGAAGTGAAAATTATAACCATTGTTGGCAATTTGTTGCTACGGACACCTGTCCACATGATTTCTAAAGTCATCACTTATTTCAAAGAAGTGAACAGTTAATACATACATCAAAGAAGTAAACTGTTAATACATACATCAAAGAAGTCAACTGTTAATACATACATCAAAGAAGTCAACTGTCAATACATACATCAAAGAAGTCAACTGTTAATACATACATCAAAGAAGTCAACTGTCAATACATACATCAAAGAAGTTAACTGTTAATACATACATCAAAGAAGTCAACTGTTAATACATACATCAAAGAAGTCAACTGTTAATACATACATCAAAGAAGTCAACTGTCAATACATACATCAAAGAAGTCAACTGTCAATACATACATCATAGAAGTTAAACCGTTTGCTCGTCATGCCAAAGACCCGGGTTCGATTCCCGACACGGGTACAATATGTGAAGCCCATTTCTGGGCTCGCTCGCTCACTCACTCACTCACTCACTCCCTGTCCCCTACAAGAGTAAGACAAGACCTCACCTGATCGATCTCTGTCTGGTTCATTTCACCATTCAACATGGCAGCCAGGGCCTCAAACTTCCCCTCACACACCGCCACAAGCTCTGGGAGAGTTTCGATTGGTCCTCGCAGCTCTGGGAAACCTTTCTGCCTGGCGCCTCCACCTCGGGGCCTAAACATACAACATGTCCTGTCTGTCACTTCATACAGTGGGAGTGTACATAACTGAGGCAGTGCATGATGGGAGTGTATATACCTGACGCAGTGCATGATGGGAGTGTATATACCTGACGCAGTGCATGATGGGAGTGTATATACCTGACGCAGTGCATGATGGGAGTGTATATACCTGATGTAGTGCATGATGGGAGTGTAAATACCTGATGCAGTGCATGATGGGAGTGTACATACCTGACGCAGTGCATGATGGGAGTGTACATAACTGACGCAGTGCATGATGTGACTGTACGTACCTGAAGCAGTGCATGATGTGACTACGTACCTGAAGCTGTGCATGATGTGACTGTACGTACCTGAAGCAGTGCATGATGTGACTGTACGTACCTGAAGCAGTGCATGATGTGACTGTACGTACCTGAAGCAGTGCATGAGGGGAGTATATGTACCTGAAGCAGTGCATGATGGGACTGTACGTACCTGAAGCAGTGCATGATGGGAGTATACGTACCTGAAGCAGTGCATGATGGGACTGTACGTACCTGAAGCAGTGCATGATGGGACTGTACGTACCTGAAGCAGTGCATGATGGGACTGTACGTACCTGAAGCACTGCATGATGGGACTGTACTTACCTGAAGCAGTACACGTGGTAGGGCATGACGTTAGGGAGGGTGAGGAGGGTCGAGTCCTCCAGCCATCGACCTTGCACCACCATCTGGATCAGTTGAATCACCCGCAGTGACGTCGCCAACCATCCCTGGTCCGCTGACACATCCAGCATGGCCTGTGAGGTGACATTAAAAGCAAATTAGAAACTACAGCTGTTGCAGCAAGTGTACAGCCTAAAAAAGGTATGTTTAATTTTCTTAGAAAACAAAGTACATGTCTGCCTTCACAAGACTGTGTCTGACCCCAAACCAAACCAAAACAGGAGCACATGTCCTAGTGTTGAAAGAGTTGTCCCTCTTTGACTGCTTGCTGGCAAGCTCCTCACAGAGATATCCCGTTCCACGCTCTCTATACTATTGCTGCCACCAGTCATAACTCCTTACAGATATATCCCGTTCACGGTGCTCTCTATACTATTGCTGCCACCAGTCAAAGCTCCTCACAGAGATATCCCGTTCACGGAGCTCTCTATACTATTGCTGCCACCAGTCAAAGCTCCTCACAGAGATATCCATTTCACGGAGCTCTCTATACTATTGCTGCCACCAGTCAAAGCTCCTCACAGAGATATCCCGTTCAGGGAGCTCTCTATACTATTGCTGCCACCAGTCAAAGCTCCTCACAGAGATATCCCGTTCACGGAGCTCTCTATACTATTGCTGCCACCAGTCAAAGCTCCTCACAGAGATATCCCGTTCACGGAGCTCTCTATACTATTGCTGCCACCAGTCAAAGCTCCTCACAGAGATATCCCGTTCACGGAGCTCTCTATACTATTGCTGCCACCAGTCAAAGCTCCTCACAGAGATATCCCGTTCACGGAGTATCTATACTATTGCTGCCACCAGTCAAAGCTCCTCACAGAGATATCCCGTTCAAAGCGCTCTCTATACTATTGCTGCCACCAGTCATAACTCCTTACAGATATATCCCGTTCACGGAGTATCTATACTATTGCTGCCACCAGTCAAAGCTCCTTACAGATATATCCCGTTCACGGAGTATCTATACTATTGCTGCCACCAGTCATAACTCCTTATAGAGATATCCCGTTCACGGAGTATCTATACTATTGCTGCCACCAGTAATAACTCCTTACAGAGATATCCCGTTCGCGGTGCTCTCTATACTATTGCTGCCACCAGTCAAAACTCCTTACAGATATATCCCGTTCACGGTGCTCTCTATACTATTGCTGCCACCAGTCAAAACTCCTTACAGATATATCCCTTTCGCGGTGCTCTCTATACTATTGCTGCCACCAGTCAAAACTCCTTACAGATATATCCCCTCCACGGAGCTCTCTATACTATTGCTGCCACCAGTCAAAACTCCTTACAGAGATATCCCGTTCGCGGTGCTCTCTATACTATTGCTGCCACCAGTCAAAACTCCTTACAGATATATCCCGTTCGCGGTGCTCTCTATACTATTGCTTCCACCAGTCAAAACTCCTTACAGATATATCCCGTTCGCGGTGCTCTCTATACAATTGCTGCCACCAGTCAAAACTCCTCACAGAGATATCCCGTTCGCGGCGCTCTCTATACTATTGCTGCCACCAGTCAAAACTCCTTACAGATATATCCCGTTCAAAGCGCTCTCTATACTATTGCTGCCACCAGTCATAACTCCTTACAGATATATCCCGTTCACGGAGTATCTATACTATTGCTGCCACCAGTCAAAGCTCCTTACAGATATATCCCGTTCACGGAGTATCTATACTATTGCTGCCACCAGTCATAACTCCTCACAGAGATATCCCGTTCGCGGCGCTCTCTATACTATTGCTGCCACAAGTCAAAACTCCTTACAGATATATCCCGTTCGCAGTGCTCTCTATACTATTGCTGCCACCAGTCAAAACTCCTTACAGATAAATCCCCTACACGGCGCTCTCTATACTATTGCTGCCACCAGTCAAAACTCCTTACAGATATATCCCGTTCGCGGTGCTCTCTATACTATTGCTGCCACCAGTCATAACTCCTTACAGATATATCCCGTTTGCGGTGCTCTCTATACTATTGCTGCCAATTTGCACTTGTCAGAGGGGAACACAAAGTACGTGATCTAGACTACCAGTTGTCGGACTTTCATTTTTGTGGAAGCCTCGTTGGCTGAGTGGGTTGGATTGGTGGCTTTGTGTGCTGGCGATTAGGTGCCTCACTCTGGCAAGTGTGGGTGGAACTCAACCTAAACAAGTACGAGAATCTGTACTATACAAAGAAAGTGTTATCCTAAATATAACATTTGTTATATTAAGGGAGAAGTTGGTTGAATTTCTGTTTGTCTGCAATCTCGAACCAATCCGATCAATCAAACAAAAATGTAAATTCATCTGGGAAATATGATCAGTCGTAAACCTTTTCAAAATTAACTGTGATGGCATTCCCAAAGACATTAACAAAAGTATAAACTTTACTACATTTGGGGTTAGAGGCCAAATTTCAAGATTTTTGTAATGGCCGCGCCCACATTGGTGGCAGCGATGTTACCGAGAGTGTAACGAAGATGTCACATGCCTGGAAGGAGCTACACTTGTTGAACATGGTTCTCAGGGAAAGAAATGGTTGTGGAGTGGAGAGTGGGTGGAGTGGGAATGGGCGTGCTGGAGTCTGCTAGGGCATGCTAGGGTGTACTGGAGTGTGCTAGGGTGTGCTAGGGCATGCTAGGGTGTGCTGGGGTGTGCTAGGGCATGCTAGGGTGTGCTGGGGTGTGCTAGGATGTGCTTGGGTGTGCTGGGGTGTGCTAGGGTGTGCTAGGGCATGCTAGGGCGTGCTGGGGCGTGCTGGGGTGTGCTTGGGTGTGTTGGGATGTGCTAGGGTGTGCTGGGGTGGCTTGGTCCATCACTGAGAGATGAGATGGGTGAGGGGTAGGGGCTTGTGGGGTGTGAGTTTGAGCTGTTTGAGGTTGTGTGAGGGTGTTTGAGTGGGGTTGAAGGGTCTGAGGGATTTTAGGTTGTGTGTAAGAAGTGTGAGCTGGTTGAGAAGGGGATTCAGGGATTCAGGGACTAAGGGAGTTGTGGGGTTGAGGGGAGTTGTTTTGACGGGGTTGGAGGGGAGGTTGAGTTGAGTTATGAGGAGTTGAGGGGAATTATGGGGAGTTGAGGGGACTTGAGGGGGGATTCAGGGGAGTTAAAGGGGTTTGAGGGGAGGTTGAGGAGAGTTGTGGGAAGTTGTGGAGGGTTTTCGGAAGTTGAGGGGGGTTGTGGGAAGTTGAGGGGGGTTGTGGGAAGTTGTGGGGGGCTGTGGGAAGTTGAGGGCTTTGATGGGGTTGAGGGGAGGTTGAGGTGACCCACCTGGAGGATCCTGATAGCCTGGTCCAGGACAGACTTGGTGTCGGTGTAGTAGTCGGTGGACGGCAGCTGCATCTGGGAGAAGTGAGCCTGCAGCAGGATGTGGGTCTTGGTGTGGGCGGAGTCGTACGAGTGGGGGTTCACCGCCAGGGGGACCTTCTGGGCCAGGTCGCTACCAGGATACATAACAAACATAACAATCAGTGCCTCATTTGCTGTGCAGTGCAGTCCGATAATCATGGGTTAAGTGCCAGAGTCGTCCTGATAATGATTGTATTTGTCAGCGTCAAAACCATACCAGCAGGTGACGCCAAGTGACAAACGTCTAAGACCTGGTTCTTCCTGCACATCGAGCTGACTGACAACACCCCTGACATACCTGAAGAACTGGGCCTTGTTCAACAAAGTCAAAGACATCTTAACTCTAAAAATCACATTCTTTTCACAGCCTCACGTTTCAGCTCCATGGGCCGTGTAGTTTTCAAAAAGATGTCAGATGACTGAAAACAAGCCACCTACCTGTTGATCTGGTCCTCATTGTGGCGGACTGGGAGCTCCGCATACTCGTGGGCATTCTGGGAATGAACAGAAAAAATGTGACATCACTGCTCCAAACAAGAATATGTTATTCTGATCCAGCTGCACTAATCTAGGGAGGCAGTTCTAAAGAAGGTCACAAAGTCAGTTGTGAGATCATATAAGTCTTTCTTTGTTGCTAATTCTGCTACTAACAAGTGCAAAAGTGAGCGTGGCTCACTAATACCCCCGACCTGTCTTGTGTGTCAGTAGTTACAAATCAAATAGCTAGGATAGGGTTAGCCTAGGGTTTGAAAAATTCATAAAAAAATGGAAAATTAATAAAAACAATTTTTTTCTTTGGACTGCATCTCTCCATATGACACAGATTATATGTTCTAAGTTTGAGATGAATCCCCTGAATAGTTTAAGAGAAATCGCGCGGACAAAGTTTTTGGACAGACGGACGGACAGATTGACAGACGGACAGACGGAACCTTGGTATAAAAATAAGGTGAATATTCTTTGTGTCCCAATCCTTGTAATCAACTATTGACCTTGATATTTATGATAATGTGTATATAATCACAGTGGGTGGAGCTGCCTCTTTACAAGACATATGATGATACACAATGCCTGGTTTAGAAAGCGGTCAAATGTGACAAAAGTTATATACTTTCTTAGTAAAGTACAGATTCTAGACCTTCTTTGGGCTCCCATCCGGGATTCGAACCCACACTGCCAGCGAGTGGGAACCCATTTAATAATCATTTCACTCTAAATATCGACTGAGTGTTTTATATAGGATGACGGTGCACCAGTGACAGTGTCTCGGGTACCAGATCTCTGAACATGGGTATGAAGTACTGGCAAGGTCCAGATTAGCGAGGTCTGGACTGACAAGGTGTGGATTATGGAGGTTTCAGTGTAGACCTGGACTTACAGACAAGATGTCCAAGAGTTCTGGCAGTGTCGACTCAGCCTTGAGTTCGTTACAGAACATGCGCACGGTGTTGTGGTTGAGGTAGTAGTAGGAGGAGATGCGGCCGAGGGTCAGCGGCGTGATGCTGCGGTTGTCCTGGAAACACACACATCGTCTTAACATGAACACAGAGTATGTGGAGAGCTGTATCACTGTCATACATATCTAGGACATACAGGAGAGCATCTCTAGGATGTACATGAGAGCATCTCTAGGATGTACAGGAGAGCATCTCTAGGACATATGGGAGAGCATCTCTAGGATGTACATGAGAGCATCTCTAGGATGTACAGGAGAGCATATCTAGGATGTACAGGAGAGCATCTCTAGGATGTACAGGAGAGCATATCTAGGACATACATGAGAGCATCTCTAGGATGTACAGGAGAGCATTTGTCTCTTCTTTGCTCCATCCTCTGAGGGAGAGACAGTAAGAATCCTCACGTTCCATCACTCACCTCACCAACTTGCAGACAGTAAGAACCCTCACGTTCCATCACTCACCTCACCAACTTGCAGACAGTAAGAACCCTCACGTTCCATCACTCACCTCACCAACTTGCAGACAGTAAGAACCCTCACGTTCCATCACTCACCTCACCAACTTGCAGACAGTAAGAACCCTCACGTTCCATCACTCACCTCACCAACTTGCAGACAGTTAAAGAACCCTCATGTTCCATCACTCACCTCACCAACTTGCAGACAGTAAGAACCCTCACGTTCCATCACTCACCTCACCAACTTGCAGACAGTAAGAACCCTCACGTTCCATCACTCACCTCACCAACTTGCAGACAGTAAGAACCCTCACGTTCCATCTCTCACCTCACCAACTTGCAGACAGTAAGAACCCTCACGTTCCATCACTCACCTCACCAACTTGCAGACAGTAAGAACCCTCACGTTCCATCACTCACCTCACCAACTTGCAGACAGTAAGAACCCTCACGTTCCATCTCTCACCTCACCAACTTGCAGACAGTAAGAACCCTCACGTTCCATCTCTCACCTCACCAACTTGCAGACAGTAAGAATCCTCACGTTCCATCACTCACCTCACCAACTTGCAGACAGTAAGAACCCTCACATTCCATCTCTCACCTCACCAACTTGCAGACAGTAAGAACCCTCACGTTCCATCCCTCACCTCACCAACTTGCAGACAGTAAGAACCCTCGAGTTCTATCACTCACCTCACCAACTTACAGACAGTAAGAATCCTCACGTTCCATCGCTCACCTCACCAACTTGCAGACAGTAAGAACCCTCACATTCCATCATTCACCTCACCAACTTGCAGACAGTAAGAACCCTCACGTTCCATCGCTCACCTCACCAACTTGCAGACAGTAAGAACCCTCGAGTTCTATCACTCACCTCACCAACTTGCAGACAGTAAGAACCCTCACGTTCCATCACTCACCTCACCAACTTGCAGACAGTAAGAACCCTCACATTCCATCGCTCACCTCACCAACTTGCAGACAGTAAGAACCCTCACGTTCCATCGCTCACCTCACCAACTTGCAGACAGTAAGAACCCTCACATTCCATCGCTCACCTCACCAACTTGCAGACAGTAAGAACCCTCACGTTCCATCACTCACCTCACCAACTTGCAGACAGTAAGAACCCTCACATTCCATCTCTCACCTCACCAACTTGCAGACAGTAAGAACCCTCACGTTCCATCCCTCACCTCACCAACTTGCAGACAGTAAGAACCCTCGAGTTCTATCACTCACCTCACCAACTTACAGACAGTAAGAATCCTCACGTTCCATCGCTCACCTCACCAACTTGCAGACAGTAAGAACCCTCACATTCCATCATTCACCTCACCAACTTGCAGACAGTAAGAACCCTCACGTTCCATCGCTCACCTCACCAACTTGCAGACAGTAAGAACCCTCGAGTTCTATCACTCACCTCACCAACTTGCAGACAGTAAGAACCCTCACGTTCCATCACTCACCTCACCAACTTGCAGACAGTAAGAACCCTCACATTCCATCGCTCACCTCACCAACTTGCAGACAGTAAGAACCCTCACGTTCCATCGCTCACCTCACCAACTTGCAGACAGTAAGAACCCTCACATTCCATCGCTCACCTCACCAACTTGCAGACAGTAAGAACCCTCACGTTCCATCACTCACCTCACCAACTTGCAGACAGTAAGAACCCTCACGTTCCATCACTCACCTCACCAACTTGCAGACAGTAAGAACCCTCACGTTCCATCACTCACCTCACCAACTTACAGACAGTAAGAACCCTCACGTTCCATCATTCACCTCACCAACTTGCAGACAGTAAGAACCCTCACATTCCATCGCTCACCTCACCAACTTGCAGACAGTAAGAACCCTCACATTCCATCATTCACCTCACCAACTTGCAGACAGTAAGAACCCTCACATTCCATCATTCACCTCACCAACTTGCAGACAGTAAGAACCCTCACATTCCATTACTCACCTCACCAACTTGCAGACAGTAAGAACCCTCACGTTCCATCGCTCACCTCACCAACTTGCAGACAGTAAGAACCCTCACATTCCATCGCTCACCTCACCAACTTGCAGACAGTAAGAACCCTCACGTTCCATCGCTCACCTCACCAACTTGCAGACAGTTAGAACCCTCACGTTCCATCACTCACCTCACCAACTTGCAGACAGTAAGAACCCTCGAGTTCTATCAGTGCCTTCTCTACCAAGCCAGACAGATACTTGTTAATGATGTCCTGCTCTGTGTTGTCCAATTTGTAGTAACTGCAATACAATATACATTGATCAGTACATCATTATACATACAACACAGCAGTCAATACAACATACAACAATCAATACAACACAGCAATCAATACAACACAGCAATCAATACAACATACAGCAGTCAATACAACAGACAATATGATGATATCATTACAGGGGTGGTCTCCCTCTGGCCTTGGGATAGGTCAGAGGTCAAAAGTATGATATTCATATGACGGTTTATGATGATCGTATGATGGTTGTATGCCGGGTTGAAAAATACACATAATCATCAAACAGCACCTCCAGTGAGATGATCCAATAGTATGAGGGTGGTTGCTGAGATGAGGGTGGCTGCTGAGATGAGGGTGGTTGCTGAGATGAGGGTGGTTGCTGAGATGAGGGTGGCTGCTGAGACGGGGTGGTTGCTGAGATGAGGGTGGTTGCTGAGACGGGGTGGTTGCTGAGATGAGGGTGGTTGCTGAGATGAGGGTGGTTGCTGAGATGAGGGTGGTTGCTGAGATGAGGGTGGTTGCTGAGATGAGGGTGGCTGCTGAGATGAGGGTGGTTGCTGAGATGAGGGTGGCTGCTGAGATGAGGGTGGTTGCTGAGATGAGGGTGGTTGCTGAGATGAGGGTGGTTGCTGAGATGAGGGTGGTTGCTGAGATGAGGGTGGTTGCTGAGATGAGGGTGGCTGCTGAGAGGGGGTGGTTGCTGAGATGAGGGTGGTTGCTGAGACGGGGTGGTTGCTGAGATGAGGGTGGTTGCTGAGATGAGGGTGGTTGCTGAGATGAGGGTGGTTGCTGAGATGAGGGTGGTTGCTGAGATGAGGGTGGTTGCTGAGATGAGGGTGGCTGCTGAGATGAGGGTGGTTGCTGAGATGAGGGTGGCTGCTGAGATGAGGGTGGTTGCTGAGATGAGGGTGGTTGCTGAGATGAGGGTGGTTGCTGAGATGAGGGTGGTTGCTGAGATGAGGGTGGTTGCTGAGATGAGGGTGGTTGCTGAGATGAGGGTGGTTGCTGAGATGAGGGTGGTTGCTGAGATGAGGGTGGTTGCTGAGACGGGGTGGTTGCTGAGATGAGGGTGGTTGCTGAGATGAGGGTGGCTGCTGAGATGAGGGTGGTTGCTGAGATGAGGGTGGTTGCTGAGATGAGGGTGGTTGCTGAGATGAGGGTGGTTGCTGAGATGAGGGTGGTTGCTGAGACGGGGTGGTTGCTGAGATGAGGGTGGTTGCTGAGATGAGGGTTGTTGCTGAGATGAGGGTGGTTGCTGAGATGAGGGTGGTTGCTGAGACGGGGTGGTTGCTGAGATGAGGGTGGTTGCTGAGATGAGGGTGGTTGCTGAGACGGGGGTGGTTGCTGAGATGAGGGTGGTTGCTGAGATGAGGGTGGCTGCTGAGATGAGGGTGGTTGTGTGATGGGAGAATGATGATGGCAGTTCTCCAAACATACAGCCCCTCTATTATCAAATAGTTTCATTTGCTAAAAAATATGTGACACTGTGCTATACTGCTGGATTGTCGACCTCTTTATACACAAACACATGGACAGATACCCACTGAATCTGTGTGTAGCTGTGTCTAACTAGATAACATGGCCCTATGTCCACTGAAGCTGTCTAACTAGATAACATGGCTTCCATATGCCCAGTGAACCTGTCTAACTAGATAACATGGATATAAACCCCTTGAAGCTGTGTCTGGCTAGATAGCATTCATATATCCCCCTTGAAGCTGTGTCTGGCTAGATAGCATTCATATATCCCCATTGAAGCTGTGTCTGGCTAGATAGCATTCATATATCCCCACTGAAGCTGTGTCTGGCTAGATAGCATTCATATATCCCCACTGAAGCTGTGTCTGGCTAGATCGCATTCATATATCCCCATTAAAGCTGTGTCTAGCTTGGCACCTCCATTATGGGGCTAGCTTTCAGACCAAAATTATTTGACCAATTATAACAAGTAGAATTTACCATTTCATCTCTTCATAGCTATTCTAGCCAAACATCTGAGAGAGATACTTGCTGGTTGGATTTCAATTACCTTTGATCAAAATATAAAAATGAATACTAAACACAAAGGTATCTAAAATAGATCCATTTATTTCATAACCACTTGACAGCCAGCTTCCGCAGCAAAGAGGGGTGTGCACTTGCTACATTCTCTTTCCTGGACCATGTGTTGCCACTGATGAAGGCTCCTCATGGTGACACGACTCAGTGAGTGAGTGAGTGAGTGAGTGAGTGAGTGAGTGAGTGAGTGAGTGAGTGAGTGAGTGAGTGAGTGAGTGAGTGAGTGAGTGAGTGAGTGAGTTGACTTTAACACTTCTTTGAGAGAGGTCCAAAGTGATGCAGATCTTGGATGTTTACCACTTCGGTGAAACACATCATCGTCAATACATCACAGGTTTATTAACCCAACGTTCCTGAATACGTTGTCAATACATCACAGGTTTATTAACCCAACGTTCCTGAATACATCGTCAATACATCACAGGTGTGTTTGCCCTACGTTCCTGAATACATTGTCAATACTTCACAGGTTTATTAACCCAACGTTCCTGAATACATTGTCAATACTTCACAGGTTTATTAACCCAACGTTCCTGAATACATTGTCAATACATCAAAGGTTTGTTTGCCCTACGTTCCTGAATACATTGTCAATACATCACAGGTTTATTAACCCTATGTTCCTGAATACATTGTCAATACATCACAGGTGTGTTTGCCCTACGTTCCTGAACACATCGTCAATACATCACAGGTTTATTAACCCTATGTTCCTGAATACATTGTCAATACATCACAGGTTTGTTTGCCCTACGTTCCTGAACACATCGTCAATACATCAAAGGTTTGTTAACCCTATGTTCCTGAATACATTGTCAAGACATCAAAGGTTTGTTTGTCCTACGTTCCTGAATCCATCGTAAGTGCTTCACACATGTAACCACTACATGACACATGTAACCACTACATCACACATGTAACCACTACATCACACATGTAACCACTACATGACACATGTAACCACTACATGACACATGTAACCACTACATCACACATGTAACCACTACATGACACATGTAACCACTACATCACACATGTAACCACTACATCACACATGTAACCACTACATGACACATGTAACCACTACATCACACATGTAACCACTACATCACACATGTAACCACTACATCACACATGTAACCACTACATGACACATGTAACCACTACATCACACATGTAACCACTACATCACACATGTAACCACTACATCACACATGTAACCACTACATCACACATGTAACCACTACATGACACATGTAACCACTACATCACACATGTAACCACTACATCACACATGTAACCACTACATCACACATGTAACCACTACATGACACATGTAACCACTACATCACACATGTAACCACTACATCACACATGTAACCACTACATCACACATGTAACCACTACATCACACATGTAACCACTACATGACACATGTAACCACTACATGACACATGTAACCACTACATCACACATGTAACGACTACATCACACATGTAACCACTACATCACACATGTAACCACTACATCACACATGTAACCACTACATCACACATGTAACCACTACATCACACATGTAACCACTACATCACACATGTAACCACTACATCACACATGTAACCACTACATGACACATGTAACCACTACATGACACATGTAACCACTACATCACACATGTAACCACTACATCACACATGTAACGACTACATCACACATGTAACCACTACATGACACATGTAACCACTACATCACACATGTAACCACTACATGACACATGTAACCACTACATCACACATGTAACCACTACATCACACATGTAACCACTACATCACACATGTAACCACTACATCACACATGTAACCACTACATCACACATGTAACCACTACATGACACATGTAACCACTACATCACACATGTAACCACTACATGACACATGTAACCACTACATGACACATGTAACCACTACATGACACATGTAACCACTACATGACACATGTAACCACTACATGACACATGTAACCACTACATCACACATGTAACCACTACATCACACATGTAACCACTACATCACACATGTAACCACTACATCACACATGTAACCACTACATGACACATGTAACCACTACATCACACATGTAACCACTACATCACACATGTAACCACTACATGACACATGTAACCACTACATCACACATGTAACCACTACATCACACATGTAACCACTACATGACACATGTAACCACTACATGACACATGTAACCACTACATCACACATGTAACCACTACATGACACATGTAACCACTACATCACACATGTAACCACTACATGACACATGTAACCACTACATGACACATGTAACCACTACATCACACATGTAACCACTACATGACACATGTAACCACTACATGACACATGTAACCACTACATCACACATGTAACCACTACATCACACATGTAACCACTACATCACACATGTAACCACTACATCACACATGTAACCACTACATCACACATGTAACCACTACATCACACATGTAACCACTACATCACACATGTAACCACTACATCACACATGTAACCACTACATCACACATGTAACCACTACATCACACATGTAACCACTACATCACACATGTAACCACTACATCACACATGTAACCACTACATGACACATGTAACCACTACATCACACATGTAACCACTACATCACACATGTAACCACTACATCACACATGTAACCACTACATGACACATGTAACCACTACATCACACATGTAACCACTACATCACACATGTAACCACTACATCACACATGTAACCACTACATCACACATGTAACCACTACATGACACATGTAACCACTACATGACACATGTAACCACTACATCACACATGTAACCACTACATCACACATGTAACCACTACATGACACATGTAACCACTACATCACACATGTAACCACTACATGACACATGTAACCACTACATCACACATGTAACCACTACATCACACATGTAACCACTACATCACACATGTAACCACTACATCACACATGTAACCACTACATCACACATGTAACCACTACATCACACATGTAACCACTACATGACACATGTAACCACTACATCACACATGTAACCACCACATCACACATGTAACCACTACATCACACATGTAACCACTACATCACACACCAGCAGCTTATATTCACAGGTAATGGATTAACTGTGAGTTAATACAAAACAATGTTTTGTTTGTTGTTCAGCAATAGTCCAGCTATATGACAGTGGTCTGTAAATAGTAGGTGTGTATGGTTTTACGCCGCTTTTAGCAATATTCCAGCAATATCATGGCAGGGGACACCCAGTAGTAATGCTGTGCCATCTTTCACAAATATTCCCCTCAAACAAGCTCACTCTTGCTACGCTTAGCTGCCCCCCCCCCCCCCCCCCCCCCTACGCACACGACATCATCAAAGTATGATCACATGTGTACTCTACTTGACAAAAATACACTGAACAAATTGCTGTGTCCACAACATCCTTCTTTGCAATAAGTAAGTTTTGAATTCGAGGAACAATCTGATTAAAATGAGATGTTTGACTCAGGTACGTTACAAATCCAGGTCCTGATCTGAGGAACCCTCCGCCGTATGATCGTTGAACTGTGAATGTCAAGGTCACTCTTTGTGAAATAAGTAAACAAAGTAATTATGATCCAAAATAACTTCAGGTTTTTGTGATATGACATTCTCCTCTACAGTTGGAGTGATTATAATTGACTTGGCAAAAGGTCAAAGTGAACAGACAAATGCAATTATAAATAAGATATGGTTTTTAAAATGTTTTAAATGATTCAATACCAAAAAATATATAGTAATTTTTAAAAAAGCAAAATATAAAAGCCTGTTGCTGGACCTTGTGTGTCAGGTGACATTGTCGTCATCTGGATGCCTGTTGCTGGAGCTTGTGTGTCAGGTGACATTGTCGTCATCTGGATGCCTGTTGCTGGGGCTTGTGTGTCAGGTGACATTGTCGTCATCTGGATGCCTGTTGCTGGAGCTTGTGTGTCAGGTGACATTGTCGTCATCTGGATGCCTGTTGCTGGAGCTTGTGTGTCAGGTGACATTGTCGTCATCTGGATGACTTATGCAGGACCTTGTGTGTCAGGTGACATTGTCGTCATCTGGATGCCTGTTGCTGGAGCTTGTGTGTCAGGTGACATTGTCGTCATCTGGATGCCTGTTGCTGGAGCTTGTGTGTCAGGTGACATTGTCGTCATCTGGATGCCTGTTGCTGGAGCTTGTGTGTCAGGTGACATTGTCGTCATCTGGATGACTTATGCAGGAGCTTGTGTGTCAGGTGACATTGTCGTCATCTGGATGACTTATGCAGGAGCTTGTGTGTCAGGTGACATTGTCGTCATCTGGATGCCTGTTGCAGGACCTTGTGTGTCAGGTTACATTGTCGTCATCTGGATGCCTGTTGCTGGGGTTTTCCTAGACTTACAGAAGTGGTAGTGGTACAGAAGGGTACATCCAATAATTCATTTGTAGGGGTGAGTGAGTGAGTATTTTTTTATGCTGCTTTTAGAAATATTCCAGCAATATCATGGCAGGGGACACCAGAAATGGGCTTCACACATTGTACCTATGTGGGGAATTGAACCTGGATCTTCGGCGTGATAAGCGAATACTTTAACAACTAGCCTACCCCACCTACCCTCCTTTTAAGGGTCCTTGTTGGCAATTTGGGTGTCCTGTAAAGTAAAGAAATGGTGTAGTGTACTGTATGTTTAGATAATTACTTCAGAGCCTGGAATGAGTCAGTGATCATGTGGACAGAGGTCATGATTGAGGGATGAAATGACAGACACCCACAACTGTTCTTGATGCGCTGTGGGTACAATGAGTGTTATTGTGGTCCCTCAGGACACAGCATATTCTTTTTCTGCGTCCAGTCATTGTGCACACCAGATGCTGTTGCACAAGGCAAAGTGTACACCAGGCAGGCATGCCGGACTTCCCACTTATCAACAACTGAAAACACTTCTCACAAGGACTGATACAGCAACAGTGGGTATAATGATTAAATAATTAACATGATTGTAGGAGTTAGGTCATGATCAGCAAAAGGATTTTCAGTGAGCAAATAAATACACGTCCTGGTGAACACAGAAATACGCCCGTCTTCTACCACAATCGCCACCAAGGCCATCACAGGAACATCCCACCCAGATAACAGGTCTGTTTATCAAGTTGTCGTGAGCAGGAAACTGTCAGCTTGACATGAGTTGGAAGGACTCCCTGATGTTCAATATTGGCCGGGTTGAAGTCAACAAACAAATGGTTGATAGCATGAACATCAACAATGAAGTGGCACTTGAATACATTATAGTCACAATTTTCTCAAATTCACAGAAATGATTGAAAAAACAGTGTTGTAAGAGCCAACTATATGCTATCAGCCGCTGGGTATTGGTAGAGAATGTCCAGGTTTTTATATCAAGATTGGTGGAGATATAACACCCTGGATTAATGAGGATGTCATTGCAGCAACAACGTGTCCTCACGTCACTCAACAATAGAAACATCATCCGTTTCTATGAAAGCTGTCAAAGTTGTTTATCATGTCCTCAATCTAAACACTCACATTGTGTTCAGGATGTTTGTAATTATTATGATAACACATTGTGCACAAGGACATTGACTTCCTTGGTCAACGCGGAATATGCCTGGCAACAATCTGCAGTGGTTGTTGGAGGCCACAACCCTGTTTGTTCCTTGTGTGTTCGATGTCGACTGATCAGGAAGACATACACGCTGCACTGATATCTCCATCTCCTCCACTACAACGCCACGGTCACTGTCTCAAAACAATTCAGTCAGTGACAATCTCCATCTCCTCCACTACAACACCACGGTCACTGTCTCAAAACAATTCAGTCAGTGACAATCTCCATCTCCTCCACTACAACGCCACGGTCACTGTCTCAAAACAATTCAGTCAGTGACAATCTCCATCTCCTCCACTACAACACCACGGTCACTGTCTCAAAACAATTCAGTCAGTGACAATCTCCATCTCCTCTACTACAACGCCACAGTCACTGTCTCAAAACAATTCAGTCAGTGACAATCTCCATCTCCTCCACTACAACGCCACGGTCACTGTCTCAAAACAATTCAGTCAGTGACAATCTCCATCTCCTCCACTACAACGCCACGGTCACTGTCTCAAAATAATTCAGTCAGTGACAATCTCCATCTCCTCCACTACAACACCACGGTCACTGTCTCAAAACAATTCAGTCAGTGACAATCTCCATCTCCTCTACTACAACGCCACAGTCACTGTCTCAAAACAATTCAGTCAGTGACAATCTCCATCTCCTCCACTACAACGCCACGGTCACTGTCTCAAAACAATTCAGTCAGTGACAATCTCCATCTCCTCCACTACAACGCCACGGTCACTGTCTCAAAACAATTCAGTCAGTGACAATCTCTATCTCCTCCACTACAACGCCACGGTCACTGTCTCAAAACAATTCAGTCAGTGACAATCTCCATCTCCTCCACTACAACGCCACGGTCACTGTCTCAAAACAATTCAGTCAGTGACAATCTCCATCTCCTCCACTACAACACCACGGTCACTGTCTCAAAACAATTCAGTCAGTGACAAAATATAGTGATTGCATGACTTGGGGAAAGAGTGATCAAGTTGAAGTATGACAAAGCATTGCATTCTCTACTCCATATTGTTGTGGGTGAGTGAGTGAGTGAGTGAGTGAGTGAGTGAGTGAATGAGTGTCTGACACAGCATTGCATACTCTCCTCCATATTGTTGTGGTGGAGTGAGTGTCTGACAAAGCATTGCATACTCTCCTCTATATTGTTGTGGTGGAGTGAATGAGTGAGTGAGTGAGTGTCTGACAAAGCAATGCATACTCTCCTCCATATTGTTGGGGTTGTGTGAGTGAGTGAGTGTCTGACACAGCTGTGCATACTCTCCTCCATATTGTTGTGGTTGTGTGAGTGAGTGAGTGTCTGACACAGCTGTGCATACTCTCCTCCATATTGTTGTGGTTGTGTGAGTGCGTGAGTGTCTGACACAGATTTGCATACTCTCCTCCATATTGTTGTGGTTGAGTGAGTGTCTGACACAGATTTGCATACTCTCCTCCATATTGTTGTGGTTGAGTGAGTGTCTGACACAGATTTGCATACTCTCCTCCATATTGTTGTGGAGTGAGTGAGTGAGTGAGTGTCTGACACAGATATGCATACTCTTCCCATATTGTTGTGGTGGAGTGAGTGTCTGACACAGCTGTGCATACTCTCCTCCATATTGTTGGGGTTGTGTGAGTGAGTGAGTGTCTGACACAGCTGTGCATACTCTCCTCCATATTGTGGTGGAGTGAGTGAGTGAGTGTCTGACACAGATATGCATACTCTCCTCCATATTATTGTGGTGGAGTGAGTGAGTGAGTGAGTGAGTGAGTGTCTGACACAGATATGCATACTCTCCTCCATATTGTTGTGGTGGAGTGAGTGAGTGAGTGAGTGAGTGTCTGACACAGATATGCATACTCTCCTCCATATTGTTGTGGTGGAGTGAGTGAGTGAGTGAGTGTCTGACACAGATATGCATACTCTCCTCCATATTGTTGTGGTGGAGTGAGTGAATGTCTGACACAGCTTTGCATGTACAACTTAAATCTGAAGAGTGATCAATTCATGCATGACTGCACACAACGCACAGTGAGTCCTGATTGCAGGTGGCTCCCCACAACGCACAGTGAGTCCTGATTGCAGGAAACTGACAACAGTTTGTGTTGTAAAGACATCTACAGACCACGTGTCAGCCCCAATATTGTTGACTGGGGACCCAGGAACTATTGACAGAGACAATTATTCTTACAGAATAATACTATGACAAATATCTGCTGTGAATTCACTCTTCACACAATTCTTCTCTTAACAGCCTTCTTCAGCTGAACTCAGTTAGCTCTGATTGTGAATACGTGTGTAATAACTAACCACAGTCCCACCTGGGATAACAAGCAGGTGAATGTGTGATATAGGAAGTATTACCCAGTTGAGCACACACTCCATGCATGTTCATCGTATACATTATTATTGACCTTCGTATAAAACAAACAACTAAAAACTTTCCTAATTTGTTGAAAAAAACTGATGGCAAATATTGACTTAACCATTACAACAACAATAAACAATTGAAACTTTTCACCACTAAAAAATAAAAACATGTTTGAAATATGGAAATACTTCTAAACAGACAGTCTGAGTGAGGACTGGTTTTGGTCTTGTCGCTGTGTATGACTGATCTACATCCCGACCCTCCCTCTCGTCATATCCTGGCAGTCAGAGCTGGCGAGTTGAACTTCCTTGTTTCTTGTCTGTGTGTTGTCGCAAGGACCTACTATCACCGAGCAGCATGGAGGCCAACACACTGTACATTCTCCTGGCAGTCACGTCTCTGGGGCACGGTAAGTCTCACACTTGTCCCACCCTAGGGTCTGGGGTAAGTCTCACACTTGTCCCACCCTAGGGTCTGGGGTAAGTCTCACACTTGTCCCACCCTAGGGTCTGGGGTAAGTCTCACACTTGTCCCACCCTAGGGTCTGGGGTAAGTCTCACACTTGTCCCACCTGTGTCTGGGGTAAGTCTCACACTTGTCCCACCTGTGTCTGGGGTATGACACATGAGTTCCATTTGGGTATGAAGTATGACACACATGAGTTAGTGAGTGAGTGAGTGAGTGAGTGTGTATGATTTTATGCTGCTTTTAGCAATATTCCAGCAATACCCCAATGGGGGACACCAGAAATGGGGTTCACACATTGTACCCATGTCTGGCCTTCGGCGTGGAGAGTGAACGCTTAAACCACTAGGCTACCTGACTGCCCGTCTGGGGTATGACGAGTTGACACGAGTTCCATCTGGGGTCTGGGGCATGCCTCTGTTCACCAAGCAGTGAATGGGTACCCGGTAGGATGAGATGGTAATGTGACGAATGTGATTTGTATGCACACTGTCCACTTGACTGAGCTGATGATGACGTAGCCCCGTGAGCACACAGCACGGACATACAGATGCATTAATTATCATCAAATAAATTACATGTCCTGCTGATGCATCCCAGGTCTTTTAAAGGAACCCATTCATGATACATGTGTAGTGAGGTGAGGTGAAGTGAAGTGGGGTTAAACATCGCGTCCGAGATTATTGCAAATATATAGTGACATGCATGTATGTGTGTGGCTGCTTGTACTAGTCCGGGTTGATGCCGATTTATAGTGCTAGCCCACTGAGATACCATGCCACAGTTTAACATGAATATCCCACTCAGACACAGTATACTGACTCCAAGCAGATCAGTCCTTGTTTTTAGCCCTTTAATTCCAGAGCCCCAGACAGGGTAACAACAAGTACCATCTTTTAACGTCTTATGGTATGACGCAGCCGGGGATCAAACCCCAGACCTTCTGCTGTCAGGGCGGACGCTCTACAACTAGACCACACAGTCGGTCAATACATGTGTAGTATCATTCCTCCCGTAAGGCAAACTGTAAACTATAGGAACAGCAGCAGCACCGACCAGTCACAGTGGCCCTGGTGCGTGTGGCGTGTTGACACTTCCTGCTGGTGTTTGTATAAAACTACAGGGGATGTTTCTACTCGTTGTGGGACACCGTGTTGATCGATTTCATTGACTAAGCGATTGGGATTCCTGGGGAGAATTATTAAGGTCTGAAGATAGCAGACCACAGGTACAATAAACACCTGTCAATCCATGTCCACAGGTACAATAAACACCTGTCAATCTATGTCCACTGGTACATAAACACCTATCAATCCATGTCCACAGGTACAATAAACACCTATCAATCCATGTCCACATGTGCAATAAACACCTATCAATCCATGTCCACAGGTGCAATAAACACTTGTCAATCCATGTCCACAGGTGCAATAAACACCTGTCAATCCATGTCCACAAGTGCAATAAACACCTGTCAATCCATGTCCACAGGTACAATAAACACCTGTCAATCCATGTCCACAGGTACAATAAACACCTGTCAATCCATGTCCACAGGTACAATAAACACCTGTCAATCCATGTCCACAGGTGCAATAAACACCTGTCAATCCATGTCCACAGGTGCAATAAACACCTGTCAATCCATGTCCACAGGTACAATAAACACCTGTCAATCCATGTCCACAGGTACAATAAACACCTGTCAATCCATGTCCACAGGTGCAATAAACACCTGTCAATCCATGTCCACAGGTACAATAAACACCTGTCAATCCATGTCCACAGGTGCAATAAACACCTGTCAATCCATGTCCACAGGTACAATAAACATGTGGTTGGCTTTGTCAGCAAGAATTATTACATGCAGTAGTGTACCTCCAAGTGCAAGACAACAGGCAAGAAAAATAGGTTGATGTTTGCATGTCAATTGAATTCTTTATTGTTTTACGTTTTGTGTTTAAAATAACGACACAAGTAAAGACGCTGATGATACTCTATTGCGGACAGTACCAAGTTTGATGAGTCCCATTATCATGTAAAGATTTATAATAATACATAGCAGTTGCTGTAGAAGTTAATCGGTTATCTGCAAATATAACTACAAATATTGGACATTATGATTTATTTAGAGTAAGTGAGTGAGTGAATATGGTTTTACGCCGCTTTAAGCAATATTCCAGCAATATCACGGCGAGGGACACAAGAAATGGGCTTCACACAATGTGCCAACGTCGGGAATCGAACCCGGGTCTTCGGCGTGATGAGTGAACGCTTTAACCACTAGGCTACCCGACCGCCCCGATTTATTTATATTAACAGCACAGATAGTAGATAAATACCAAAGACATTATTTAAATGCAGGATTAGTGGAACAAAACAGTACTTTTTAGACTAAAACTTAAATTCTTTACGAAATCTAACATCAATTAATATTTTGTTGAAATGACCCCTACGAAAGACCTATGACTCCTTGTAGTATATATTATAGCTATGGAGTTGTCAGAGGCTAGGACAAGACCTGATCATAGGTGTAGGTCTGGCAAAAGAAATTAACAAATACTTCATTTGTCTAGTAATACAAAATGTTCCTAGCTTGCCACTAAATCTCAATTTGGACCTGAACCAGCAACTAATTGTATTTTTCTTCCCTTTCCAGCCTCTGGTCTGATTCGGATGTGTACCGACCAGGAGACAAGCAGCTCCCAGACCCCCGTGATATTATACATGGGTGAGGGGGTTAACTCTACTGCTCCTGTTTGCTCCTGTCAACTTCAATCACAAATGGACTTCTATGTCACATTAAAGAGGTTCAAACCTACAAATGACAACCCGAGGCCTGGAAGTGTCCTTATCAATGTGGAATTCCACATGACAATAAACAATACGTCTGTCAACATGTCGTATGGTCTAGATCTGCCTACAATGCAAAATGATTTGACCGGATCTGACTGTTTGATACATTCGGGAAACTCCTCACAATCCATCATACCAGAGTCCTGCTGGAATTACACAACAGAAAGAACTATCACCTTGGAGGCGTTCCAAAACTTGACGCAGAACGGCCATCTGTATCTCAGCGTTTTTGGTGCAGGTAACATCCCACTATTACTCCTGAAAAGTCCTACTATTTTTACTGTTACATCACTCTATTACTACTGTAACATCCCACTATTATCACTGTAACATCCCACTATTATTACTGTAACATCCCAATATTACTACTGTAACATCCCGCTATTATTACTGTAACATCCCACTATTATTACTGTTACAGCCCACTATTATTACTGTAACATCACACTTTCATTACTGTAACATCCCACTATTACTACTGTTACATCCCACTATTATTACTGTAACATACCACTATTATTATTGTTACATCCCACTATTATTACTGTAACATACCACTATTATTACTGTAACATCCCACTATTATTACTATAACATCCCACTATTATTACTGTAACCTCCCACTATTATTACTGTAACATACCACTATTATTATTGTAACATCCCACTATTATTACTGTAACATCACACTATTATTACTGTTACATCACACTATTATTACTGTAACATCCCACTATTATTACTGTAACATCACACTATTACTACTGTTACATCACACTATTATTACTGTAATATCACACTATTACTACTGTAACATCCCACTATTACTACTGTAACATCCCACTATTATTACTGTTACATCAAACTATTATTACTGTAACATCCCACTATTATTACTGTTACATCACACTATTATTACTGTTACATCAAACTATTATTACTGTTACATCAAACTATTATTACTGTTACATCAAACTATTACTACTGTAACATCCCACTATTATTACTGTTACATCACACTATTACTACTGTTACATCACACTATTACTACTGTAACATCCCACTATTATTACTGTTACATCACACTATTATTACTGTTACATCAAACTATTATTACTGTAACATCCCACTATTATTACTGTAACATCACACTATTACTACTGTTACATCACACTATTATTACTGTAATATCACACTATTACTACTGTAACATCCCACTATTACTACTGTAACATCCCACTATTATTACTGTTACATCAAACTATTATTACTGTAACATCCCACTATTATTACTGTAACATCACACTATTACTACTGTTACATCACACTATTATTACTGTAATATCACACTATTACTACTGTAACATCCCACTATTACTACTGTAACATCCCACTATTATTACTGTTACATCAAACTATTATTACTGTAACATCCCACTATTATTACTGTTACATCACACTATTATTACTGTTACATCAAACTATTATTACTGTTACATCAAACTATTATTACTGTTACATCAAACTATTACTACTGTAACATCCCACTATTATAACTGTTACATCAAACTATTATTACTGTTACATCAAACTATTACTACTGTAACATCCCACTATTATTACTGTTACATCAAACTATTATTACTGTTACATCAAACTATTACTACTGTAACATCCCACTATTATAACTGTTACATCACACTATTATTACTGTTACATCAAACTATTACTACTGTAACATCCCACTATTATTACTGTTACATCACACTATTACTACTGTAACATCCCACTATTATTACTGTTACATCACACTATTACTACTGTAACATCCCACTATTATAACTGTTACATCACACTATTATTACTGTTACATCAAACTATTACTACTGTAACATCCCACTATTATTACTGTAACATCCCACTATTATTACTGTTACATCCCACTATTATTATTGTAACATCCCACTATTATTACTGTAACATCACACTATTATTACTGTTACATCCCACTATTATTATTGTAACATCCCACTATTATTACTGTAACATCACACTATTATTACTGTAACATCCCACTATTATTACTGTTACATCCCACTATTATTATTGTAACATCCCACTATTATTACTGTAACATCCCACTATTACTACTGTTACATCACACTATTATTACTGTTACATCCCACTATTATTACTGTAACATCCCGCTATTATTACTGTAACATCCCACTATTATTACTGTTACATCCCACTATTATTATTGTAACATCCCACTATTATTACTGTAACATCACACTATTATTACTGTTACATCACACTATTATTACTGTAACATCCCACTATTATTACTGTAACCTCACACTATTACTACTGTTACATCACACTATTATTACTGTAATATCACACTATTACTACTGTAACATCCCACTATTACTACTGTAACATCCCACTATTATTACTGTTACATCAAACTATTATTACTGTAACATCCCACTATTATTACTGTTACATCACACTATTATTACTGTTACATCAAACTATTATTACTGTTACATCAAACTATTATTACTGTTACATCAAACTATTACTACTGTAACATCCCACTATTATTACTGTTACATCCCACTATTATTACTGTAACATCCCACTATTATTACTGTAACATCACACTATTATTACTGTTACATCCCACTATTATTATTGTAACATCCCACTATTATTACTGTAACATCACACTATTATTACTGTTACATCACACTATTATTACTGTAACATCACACTATTATTACTGTAACATCACACTATTACTACTGTTACATCACACTATTATTACTGTAATATCACACTATTACTACTGTAACATCCCACTATTACTACTGTAACATCCCACTATTATTACTGTTACATCAAACTATTATTACTGTAACATCACACTATTATTACTGTTACATCACACTATTATTACTGTTACATTAAACTATTATTACTGTTACATCAAACTATTATTACTGTTACATCAAACTATTACTACTGTAACATCCCACTATTACTACTGTAACATCCCACTATTATTACTGTAACATCCCACTATTATTACTGTAACATCCCACTATTATTACTGTTACATCACACTATTACTACTGTAACATCCCACTATTATTACTGTTACATCACACTTTTATTACTGTAACATCCCACTATTATAACTGTAACATCCCACTATTATTACTGTAACATCCCACTATTATTACTGTTACATCCCACTATTATTACTGTAACATCCCACTATTATTACTGTTACATCCCACTATTATTACTGTTACATCCCACTATTACTACTGTAACATCCCACTATTATTACTGTTACATCACACTATTATTACTGTTACATCACACTATTATTACTGTTACATCAAACTATTATTACTGTTACATCAAACTATTATTACTGTAACATCCCACTATTACTACTGTAACATCCCACTATTATTACTGTAACATCAAACTATTATTACTGTAACATCCCACTATTATTACTGTTACATCCCACTATTATTACTGTAACATCCCACTATTATTACTGTTACATCACACTATTACTACTGTAACATCCCACTTTTATTACTGTTACATCCCACTATTATTACTGTTACATCCCACTATTAGTACTGTAACATCCCACTATTACTACTGTAACATCCCACTATTATTACTGTAACATCCCACTATTATTACTGTAACATCCCACTATTATTACTGTTACATCCCACTATTATTACTATTACATCCCACTATTATTACTGTAACATCCCACTATTATTACTGTAACATCCCACTAATATTACTGTAACATTCCACTATTATTACTGTAAGATTCCACTATTATTACTGTAACATCACACTATTACTACTGTAACATCACACTATTATTACTGTAACATCAACGCAAATACATATTTTCTTGCCCTACAGCGATTCTGGGAGTGAGTGAGTGAGTGAGTGAGTGAGTATGGTTTTACACCGCTTTAAGCAATATTCCAGCAATAGCATGGCAGGGGACAGTTGAAATGGGCATCTGTTATACTGATGTTCCATCTATTTATACCATGGCTCCATCTGTTTCTACCATAGCTCCATCTGGTTATATTGAGGTTCCATCTGTTTATACTGTGGTTCCATCTATTTATACCACGGCTTCATCTGTTTCTACGATGGCTCCATCTGTTTATACCATGGCTCCATCTGTTTATACCATGGCTCCATCTGTTTATACTGAGGTTCCATCTATTTATACCATGGCTTTATCTGTTTCTACCATGGCTCCATCTGTTTATACTGAGGTTCCATCTGTTTATACCATGACTCCATCAGTTTATACCATGGCTCCATCTGTTTATACTGAGGTTCCATCTGTTTATACCATGACTCCATCTGTTTATACTGAGGTTCCATCTGTTTATACCATATGGCTCCATATGTTTATACTTAGGCTCCATATGTTTATACTTAGGCTCCATATGTTTATATTGAGGCTCCATCTGTTTATACCATGGGTCATATGCATCTGTTTAAACCGGTGGCTCCACTGATAATAAGGCACCATATGCTCCTACAAAGGTGGCTCCAATCGCAACACTCTATTTGAATATACGAGGGGTGTTCATTAAAGATTTCCCCTAAACCACTTAGGGTTATCATATTTGGTTGAAATTTCACATGTGTAATGATACATGTATCTATGGGTTATGTCTGAATTTGCAGCACCGAACTATTAATCTTACTACTTTTACAGGTGTTATGATCGAGTAGGGTGTGACAATGGAGCCAGTAGAATACCGAGCAGTGATTAGGTTTTTATATTTGAAAGGTCGCACAACAAAAGAAACTTTAGATGAAATGAAAGCAACTTATGGGGAAGATGCCCCATCATATGACGTTGTTAAACACTGGCATCGCCAGTTCAAGTGTGGTCTGACATCTGTGGAAACAGCTGCCATTCCTGGTCGCCCCCATTCAGCCATTGATGAGGACACTATCCATCAAGTGGAGACCGCCATTTTGGCAGACCGACGTATAACTGTTCGCCAGTTAGCACAAGATGTCAAGATCAGTGTAGGGTCTGTGGAAAAAATCAACCATGACAATTTGAACATGCATAAGGTGTCTGCACGATGGATTCCCAGGTTGCTCACACCTTTCCAAAAGCAGGAACGAGTCAATTGCTCAAAGGATCTTTTGGACATGTGCCAAAAAAAACAGGCAAACTTTTTTGACAGACTTATCACACAGGATGAAACATGGGTCCATCACTATGATCCTGAGACTAAAGTTCAGTTGATGCAATGGAAGCATGTGGAGCCACCACCCCCAAAGAAGGCACGTGTCCAACCCTCTGCAGGCAAGGTCATGCTCACGGTGTTTTGGGACCAGCACAGAGTAGTGATGATGGATTTCTTGGCAAAGGGTACCACAATTACAGGAGCTTATTATGCTTCACTGCTGCGGAAATTGCGGGATGCTATCAAGCTTAAGAGGCGTGGCATGCTGACCAAGGGTGTCCGTCTCCTGCAAGACAATGCTCCAGTACACAACTCTCATGTTGCCCAGACAGAAGCGCGGCCCTGTGGCTATTAAATCCTTCCACATCCTCCTTACTCTCCTGACCTTGCACCATCTGACTTCCACCTCTTTCCAACCATGAAGTCATGTTTGAAGGGAAAACGTTTCACAGATGATGAAACACTGATTTCTGAAGTCAAGTCCTGGTTTGAGATGCAAAATGAGGGCTTTTACAAGCGAGGTCTCCATAGTTGCATAAATCGATGGGAGAAGTGTGTAACTCTTGGTGGTTCCTATGTGGAGAAAGACTAATACCTATGCCAAGTTTCATTCCACTAGGTCCATCAGAAGTGGGTCAAGGGAAATCTTTAATGAACACCCCTTGTATTAACTAGCTGTAAAGTGGTTACTTGACGAGACCTTAGTTTTCTGAGTTTGAGTGAGTGAGTGAGTGAGTGAGTGAGCGAGTGAGTGAGTGAGTGAGTGAGTGAGTGAGTGAGTGAGTGAGTGAGTGAGTGAGTGAGTGAGTGAGTGAGTGAGTGAGTGAGTGAGCTGAGATACTGTAAATCTGGAAATTAATGCGTCTCCAAATTAATACGACTGCTGAACCCTAGCAAAAATGCTGAGAAGAGCACTTCCATAAAAACAATTAACAGTTCTTTCCTAAAAACAACACACAGTTTATACGTTTATTCTGTTGACAGGCATTAAGGAAGTTCAAAGGCAATAAGTGGCACAGGTGGCCCATTCTTCTAAGGCGCCGCGACTCGCTGTGCAGAGTTGCGTCCCTTGGGCACGCCAGAAAACTATGATTGTGGGTTCGAATCCCGGTTCGCCCCGATAACGTTTCTAGGTTTGTCAGCACCATACCCGTGCTCGTGGGTTTCACCGAAGTGGTAAACGTCTGAGACCTGCATCACTTTGGGCTTTCCTCCCACATTAAGCTGACACACTGTTAAAAGCGGCGTTAAACCCAACTCACTTACTCACTCAAACAACAACAGTTCACTGATTAGTATGCGGATAAGGTGTCAACAAACTTGATGGCAGATGACAACATAAAGGCTGTATATCTGGGGAGTGTAATGAAGCCTATCGGTGCGCGTTGGGTCGTGTCCGCCTTTGACAAAGTGTTGCGTGGGTGGTGCCTGTCTGGACTGCTGGACGGCCTTATTAGTTTGACAGTAGTGGGTACAACTCTTGACCCTAGCAGTGATAACTCACAGGATGCCTATTATGTAATTCCTATTCTTTGAATGACATTGTTATATACTTGTTACAACTGCTGCTCAATAAACCGTGTTTGTGTATATATTCAAGTTGGTTTTTCCGCTATCCAAAGTATGCAATGAGGCCATCTTATTGTTGATAGTCATTTTTGAGACATAAATGCGAAGTTTCAATAATGCGAAGACCACTCGGATTTTTCGCATTTAATTCACGTTCTCGTTAATTTTAAGATTTACTGTAGTTGTTGGCTAAGATAGTTGTTGAGCTAAGACTGTTGTTGAGCTAAGACTGTTGTTGTGCTAAGATAGTTGTTGTGCTAAGATGGTTGTTGTGCTAAGATAGTTGTTGTGCTAAGATAGTTGTTGTGCTAAGATAGTTGTTGGCTAAGATAGTTGTTGAGCTAAGACTGTTGTTGAGCTAAGACTGTTGTTGTGCTAAGATAGTTGTTGTGCTAAGATGGTTGTTGTGCTAAGATAGTTGTTGTGCTAAGATAGTTGTTGTGCTAAGATAGTTGTTTGCTAAGATAGATGTTGTGCTAAGATAGTTGTTGTGCTAAGATTGTTGTTGTGCTAAGATAGTTGTTGTGCTAAGATAGTTGCTGTGCTAAGATAGTTGTTGTGCTAAGATAGTTGTTGATTAAGGTAGATGTGCTAAGATAGTTGTTGATTAAGGTAGATGTGCTAAGATAGTTGTCCTGCTAGGATTTTGGACATGGGTCAGGATGGTTGAAGGCTAAAGTCAAGAATGTAAATCAATGAGGTCCATGTAGCCACATCATCACTCTACTTATATCTGTACATGTGTTTCAGGTAATATTAATTTCACCTGTAAGTCAAAGTCTGAGGAAGAATCTTTCCGGGGCAACGACATTCTGAACTTACAGACAACCACCACCAGTCACCTGTACAACGCCAGCCCCAGCACCAGCCCCAACCCCAGCCCCAGCCCCGGCGCCAGCCCCACATCCATGGCCCATGGAGAAAATGGTAAGTATGTAACATAAATTAGAAGACCACTTCAACATGACAGTAACACTGCTAAGATTGAGTGAGTGAGTGAGTGAGTAGGGTTTTACGCAGCTTTTAGCAATATTCCAGCATTATTACGGCGGGGGACACCAGAAATAGACTTTACACATTGTACCGATGTCGGGAATCGAACCCGGGTCTTCGGCGTGATGAGCAAATGCTTTAACAACTAGGCTATCTGACCGCCCCTGCTCAGATTGAACAGTTCTAGAACTGGCTAAAGTTTTCAACCAAAACATTATTTGTTACATCTTTATGACTGAGGCAAGTTTCAGTGGACCAGTTATATATGTTTTAAAAACAGACAAGAACAGATGCATCAAGGCAAGGGTGAACCACAACTGTATCTGGGACCTGTTCCACAAAGCAAACATAGCGCTACCATTGTCGTAAGGCTATGTTAAAGTATAGGAGTTACGATCACCTTAGTGCTACGACAGTTGTAAGTCTATATTCAAGTATAGGAGTTACGATCGCCTTAGCGCTACGGCTGTTGTAAGTCTATGTTAAAGTATAGGAGTTACGATCACCTTAGCGCTACGACTGTCTGAAGTCTATGTTAAAGTATAGGAGTTACGATCACCTTAGCGCTACAACTGTCTTAAGTCTATGTTAAAGTATAGGAGTTACGATCACCTTAGTGCTGCGATCACTTTGTGGAACGTACCCCAGGGCTGTTGTTGAGACTAAGGAGCCATTGTGGACAACTGATACACTATTTCATACTTTGTCAATTTGGCAAGGTGGGCATTGATAATATGAGATGCACATTCAAGTAGGATAGAGACACTATACAAAGCCTATCTTTCAGCTACAAAGGCTCATTAATGTGTTTTATATTTGCAGGGACCATGATTGCTGGGATCATAATGTTGTGTCTTGCTTTCGTTGTGTTGGGAGCAGCTGTCATAACATTCGGGCTGATTTACAGGTAACTGTCATCATCATTATCATCATAAAGAAATATAATTAAATAAACCTATATAGATGCATGGTCAATGCATTTCACAAGGTGACAAGAGTCATCAGAATGACAATTCCCCCGCCCCTGAGAACAAATCATCTGACTGTTACATTGAGAGAATTTTGATCTAATCTGTCTGTGTACAAGAGTAGTTATTGAGCAGTCAAAACAAGAATGGAATTTGGATTCGGAAATTTGTATTTCTATGTCAGACACACCCATTGAGTCAAAGTCAAACTTGTTGCCAGACAACAACAGATAAAAAATATTTTAAAGAAAATTCCTAAATAGCAAAAGGCACCACTTCAGCCCCTGATTAATACATGTACCAAGTTTTGATGAAAAACATTGAATAGTTTAACTAGCTCTGCTCAGAAAACGACACCTACCTCCTTTCAGCTAAGTCTAACTTGTTTCCATGGACACAGGGAAAAATTTAATTTGGAAAAATTCCTATATAGCAAAAGGCAGCACTTCAGCCCTTGGTTAATACATGTACCAGGTTTGGATGCAGCACTTCAGCCTTTGGTTAATACATGTACCAGGTTTGGATGCAGCACTTCAGCCTTTGGTTAATACATGTACCAGGTTTGGATGAAAAACATTGAATAGTTTAACTAGCTCTGCTCAGAAAACGACACCTACCTCCTTTCAGCTAAGTCTAACTTGTTTCCATGGACACAGGGAAAAATTTAATTTGGAAAAATTCCTATATAGCAAAAGGCAGCACTTCAGCCCTTGGTTAATACATGTACCAGGTTTGGATGCAGCACTTCAGCCTTTGGTTAATACATGTACCAGGTTTGGATGCAGCACTTCAGCCTTTGGTTAATACATGTACCAGGTTTGGATGCAGCACTTCAGCCCTTGGTTAATACATGTACCAGGTTTGGATGCAGCACTTCAGCCCTTGGTTAATACATGTACCAGGTTTGGATGTACCAGGTTTGGATGCACCACTTCAGCCCTTGGTTGATACATGTACCAGGTTTGGATGTATCAGGTTTGGATGCAGCACTTCAGCCCTTGGTTAATACATGTACCAGGTTTGGATGCACCACTTCAGCCCTTGGTTGATACATGTACCAGGTTTGGATGTACCAGGTTTGGATGCACCACTTCAGCCCTTGGTTAATACATGTACCAGGTTTGGATGCAGCACTTCAGCCCTTGGTTAATACATGTACCAGGTTTGGATGCAGCACTTCAGCCTTTGGTTAATACATGTACCAGGTTTTGATGCACCACTTCAGCCCTTGGTTGATACATGTACCAGGTTTGGATGTACCAGGTTTGGATGCAGCACTTCAGCCCTTGGTTAATACATGTACCAGGTTTGGATGCAGCACTTCAGCCCTTGGTTAATACATGTACCAGGTTTGGATGCAGCACTTCAGCCCTTGGTTGATACATGTACCAGGTTTGGATGCAGCACTTCAGCCCTTGGTTCATACATGTACCACGTTTGGATGTAGCACTTCAGCCCTTGGTTAATACATGTACCAGGTTTGGATGCAGCACTTCAGCCCTTGGTTAATACATGTACCAGGTTTGGATGCACCACTTCAGCCCTTGGTTGATACATGTACCAGGTTTAGATGCACCACTTCAGCCCTTGGTTGATACATGTACCAGGTTTGGATGTACCAGGTTTGGATGCACCACTTCAGCCCTTGGTTGATACATGTACCAGGTTTGGATGTACCACTTCAGCCCTTGGTTGATACATGTACCAGGTTTGGATGTACCAGGTTTGGTTGTACCAGGTTTGGATGTACCAGGTTTGGATGTACCAGGTTTGGATGTATAGTCTTTCAAGGATTTTAAGTTGTGCTCCAGAAATGAAATCCACATTTTGAGAGTTAGTCAAAATTGTTTCCATGGAAATGGAGAAAAATAGAAATGCAAAAAATTCACAAATAGCAAAAGGCACTACTTCAGGATCTGTTTGATATATCTGCCAAGTTTTATTGAAGGATATTGAAAGGTTTTCGAGTTATGCCCTGGAAACTAAATGATTACGGACAGGCAGACAGACTATGCATTGACTATATCCGCCCCCGCCCCAAATTAATGCCCAAATGTCAAAAGTCAACTTGAAAACTGATTATTTTTAAAAACTGAAGTTGCACATGAAACAGAAATAATGCAAAACACAACAAACTAAGGTGCTGAGAAGCTGAGAATTTGAATATAGCAACCATTAAATTTAAATGTTAAACACTCACACAATCTGTCAACTTACAATGGCTTAGTAACACAAAGTTCTCCTGATCCATACTCATATAACATGCTTCCTTGGCCTTCATTTATAGAACAAACAAACAAACAAACAATTTGAGAGAATATTCATTCAAATTTGTCTCATTTGAATTTCGATTTTTCTAAAAAGCACAAAACAAATACTGTGTCTAGGTGTAGCTAGCATGAGATTAATATTTAGTTTTAAAATCACGATCGATCAGTCATAATTGTCAGTTAATAATTTCAGTTGATTTAAATATTAACTGCATTAACCCACAGGAATACGTAGCTGAACATACGCAAAGTATGTTTTATTGATCCCTGTATCCTTTGGCCTCGATGGATACACGGGGCAATAACAATAAAAAGATTCACAATCTACAGATATTGAAAATGAATGATCAGTAGCTTGACTATTTGGCAATGTGTTTAATCTGACCAATCTTCAGGGATGACGCAGTCTTGAGGCGATTTAGTTAAAACATGCTGAAGGGATATACAGTGTGTTTGTCCTGATGCAACATCATTGCCCGTAATTTCATTAAAATATTGTGTTTTTTCTGTCTGTGGTAGTCGGTTAACAGTCTGACTACTTTGCCTCATAAATTTCCCAGAAGTGATTGCGCTATCAATTTCCAACAAATGTATGCCAATATTTGGGAGTGCTATTACTTCGATTTATGAAAGAAAATCCGCTGGACGTGGTCGTTGTTGACCTTTCTGACCTAAATGTGAAATAATCTCATTGAATGACTTATACTGTTGTGTGCAAGTTATATTGCCGATCTGGGACACTAGCTAACTGCTATCCAATCACCAGAGAAAACCATTCCCTCATTCAATCAGGTCATGACTGACTGAAGCACACATATAATATTCTGCATTGTCCACACCACAGTCACTGAATGTATGGCGCCAGTTTCTGTGATATGTTTCATGTAATATAGAATCCTAATGCAACCTCCTTCTCCTCCTCCTCCTCCTGCTGCCTGAGGAATCTAGTCACTGCAATTTGTAAGAAACCTGTGATTGGTCCTGATTATGTTTCTAAGTTTGTCAGCCCCATACCCGTGGTCGTGGGTTTCACCAGGGTGATATTAGCCTCAAGTGATGTCATCCTTATTAGAGCTTCTTCTGTTCTCAAGATAATTTAATCTCCAGACTGCCGAAGTAATTCTATAGAATAACCCAAGGACTTTCTACAGACTGTCCCTCATCCAATGAACATTCTATTGAAAGTTATTCTGTCCCAGAGATTTATTTTGCATTTGATCACAATCTATATAACATATATTACAATGCTAACTTAAGGACATGGGCCGAATGGCGTCATATCAAATGACTAACATCCTCCAGAGAGATCGAACGTGTAACTTTTGTGTCTGTAGCCTTGAGTGAATCACTTGGCTACAGAGGCACTTATAATGCACAATTCTTTTTAAAAATATTTTTTGCAAGTACATGTACGCCAACAAGATATAGTTTACATGTTATTAATTTGTTTTATTACTCGCCCGTAAAGAGATAATTCATTTAATAGGTGAGGTGAGGTGAAATGGGTTTTAATGTCGCGTCAAGATTATTGCACTTATATAGCGACGTGCATGCACGAGTGAGTGTGTGTGTGTGGCTGCTTATACTAGTCTGGACTGATGCCGATTTATAGTACTAGTTCACTGGGATACTATGCCGCAGTTGAACTTGAATACCCCACTCAGACGCACCAGTCAGGGTAACAACAAGTACCATTTTTTAACGTCTTTTGGTATGGTGCGGCCGGGGATCGAAACCCCTGCCTTCTCTTGGTGGACGCTCTACCACTAGACCACGGTGCCCGTCCACTCATTTAATAACTATACAGTTTTTTTAAACAGTGTTTTATAACATCCCAAGTGAACACGACTATTTTTTACATCACCTGGTCGTCAGTATCACTGTGCCACTGTGCTCGGCAACGTCTCCTCATGACTACGTTTCACAAAAACACCAGAGATACATAGACGCATGCATCTCAAAACTGTATTATTCACCTATTTTACTTGAATATGTCAAGTCTGTGAGTTATTGCAGTTGCCTATCACAGGACTCGAGAACAACAACGTTTGGAATAGAGATAGTATACTGAATATCACTTCGTAGTGCAAGTGTCATGGAATTACTAAGGTTCGAGCATCACTAATAAACAACGCATTCGAAAGATCATCACTACAGTCATCGCTGCTCCTACTTGTGACCTTGAACTTTGTGTTGTAAATGAAAGAAGCACCCCTTGGACCAAGTAGACAGTTGGAAAAATGTTGTCTAACGTCAACCGATGCAATCTTTTGCCATGAATTGTTCGGGCTCCGAAATTGAACAGATGGTGTAGCTAAACCAATTTTATAACAGATAAACTATTTGCTGACTCGTTAAAACACACAAGCAACATGACATGACTCCATAAATAGATCGTCTCGCGGCAATGGCACCTCTCTCATATATATAAACTATATGAATAGAGTATCTATGTTGATATGTTTTGAAACGTAACCTAATGTTTTTGGTTAACATGTTCAAGCAAAACCTCAGTGTTATGTTTTATCCTTTACATAAATGCCAGGGTGCTGTTGTACAAAGCGATCTTAGCACTTACCTACCTTAACACAGACTTACTACAGTCACAGTGCTATTTGTTTTATTTCTTTGTTGTTTAACGCCGCACTAAGCAATATTTCAGCTGTATGACGGCGGTCTGTAAATAATCAAGTCTGGACCAGAAAATCTAGTGATTGACAGCATGAGCATCGATCCACCCAATTGGGATACAATGACATGCATCGACCAAGTCAAGGTTGTTTTGTACAACCTTGACCTGCAAGACTTTGGGCTTTTCTCTCACATATAACTGAAATAATGTTCATTATATTTATTGTGATTGCAGGAAGAAACAGTTATCGAAGAAAAGACGCCAGCGAGACCGATTGAAAGCCTCTACTCATATGGACTGGACCCCGGAAACTGTAACCTATGAAGACATGGATGAAGATCTGTGTACAAAAGAAAAATCCCAAACCACCACAGAAAATGTCCTGAAACTAGAGACTGAAACCTATGCACTGGCTAGAGACCCTGGCCTTGACCCCTGCACCATGGTCAGCGTTCAGGACAAAAGCCAGTATGATGTTGCCCATGTAAGTGTGAGCAAAGTTGCAGCACCATCGGGTGATGTTGACGAAAAGGATGATACATATGACGTGGCTGCCTGTTGCACAAACAGACAACAGAGTCACTTGCTGTCTGATGGCCGGTACAGCACCGCCGCCACAGCCGATTCCCACGCTGATGTTTCTGTGAATCATCCAGGCCATGGTGATGAACAAAGTCTAACTGCTGCTGTGACAAGTTCCACATCACCAAGAGGAGGAGTCCGCAGTGTAGAGCAGATAGCTTTTGATGAAGAACTAAAGACACCATTGGATGAGACCACAAGTCACTCTTTGAGCCTGGTGAGGCAGAATTCTGTGGAAGTAATCTCCCTTGAATCTTGCGATACTGGGCCTGAAGATGGCGTGGATAGCCACGATGCTGATATGCATGTGACTGAATTCAGTGAGGAGGAGTTTGAAAATGTGCCATCACCAAAATATGGTCAAACGAGTGACGATGAAGAGATCTATGTGAACCAGATGGTAAGAAAGGGCAGCTACAGCAGTGATAATGAAGGGAAAACCTTGGAAGAGTCCACAAATCTATCCCCAACAAGGGCAGACAACAAGTCGACAGGTTTACCCCCTTTAAAAACAAGGGCAGACAACCAAGGGACGAGGTTACCCTCTTCAAAAACAACGGCTGACAATCAGAGGCTGAGTTTACCCCCTTCAAAAACAAGGCCAGACAACCAGAGGAAAAGTGTATCCCCTTCAAGGACAAGGCCAGACAACCAGAAGAAAAGTGTATCCCCTTCAAGGACAAGGCCAGACAACCAGAAGAAAAGTGCATCCCCTTCAAGGACAAGGCCAGACAATCAGTTGGGTTCATCGCCTGTGATCAGTAACGTGCCTTTCAGGCCAGTGCTCCACAGTGTGCCTTCAGCAGCATCTACAGTTGATGACGAGGAGATTTACCAAAATGTTACCTCGGAAAGGACAAATTCCACAGCATCATTGCTAACCATCAGTTCAGGTTCTGACAAACCTTATGAAAACCTCATCGGAGGACGACCTTATGAACCAGACCCAGAAACCCCAGCATGCTGCCCCCCCCACAATGAGTCCAACTCCAGTGCGGTTGTTGTCGTGATTCTGCCTGGGCAGGATTCAAACCCAGCCGAAGAGGAGGAGCCCGAACCAATGTCCAAAACAAGTCCACAAAAAGTTGGTCACAAACATTCTTTTTCTGTTGATGAAGCTTCTAAAATCCCAAGACCACTCAAAAGAAAGAACCGAACTAGAAGTGATGACACAGATTTGCTGATCCATCCCAGCTCGAGTTCCGAGGAAGATGTCTTGGTGATGGTCAACAACAACTTGTATGAAGACATTAACAAGGGTCAGTTGGCAACATCCAACAAAAAACCTGCTGCTCAAAAGGTCATTGCCAAAACAATACCGGATGACTTACAGGGCAGGGTCAAAGCCCAGACGACCTTGAAGCAGCAACCTGGACCTGTTGCAACAAGTTCCTCCAATCAGCATCTCGATGATGACAGCGATGAAGGGCTTGTTATGATGGAGAACGACACGTATGAATCCCTGAAGGGGTGTGTGTCGATCTTCCCCTCCTCTGTCGCATCACAGATCAGGAAGAAGGTCGAACACGATAATCCAAAAAGTCCCTTGGATAAAAATGAGTTCTTTTCTAACAAAAGGCTATAAACAACATTGTAGTTTGTCTTCACTGTTACTGTGACACCTCCTGCACTGGTGGGCATAGGATCAAGACTGGGTGCCAGTCCTTCCGTCATACACGTTGCACAGTGTAATCTGGTGTGCCTGCAAGGCGGGTGTGGAAACTCCAGGCTCAAGACAACACAGTACTTTAAACTGACAAATTGATGTTTGCATATATTTCGCTCATCCCTTGGTCTGCAACAGCTCGAAGCACTTCTAAAATGGTGGCGCAACTACCACTTGGTTGCCTTGCCCTTATGAAGAACCCTCAAGACAAAACAGTACTTTAAACTGACAAAATGATGCATATTAGATGACACTTGCAGAATATGTTGCAATTCATCTCATTTCAGTCTTTGGCCAAAACGTATGAAAACTGAGCTCATTCAGTTGGTAGTACCTGTTAAGACTCCTTTACTTGATGTGTGCAATTAGTTGAAAATATATTTAAGCATTGACACTGTGCCTGTACACTTCCAACGTGAAGTGTTCATTTTGTTCAGACTTGGTCAGTTTACAATCAGATCAGACCACTGTGATGCAGACTGTTGTCGTGCTACAGAACCCACTCACTCACTCACTCATCCCAGCAGACATTGTAGCTACTGATTTATTAGAATAAGTGAGAAAAACATTTATCTCTGTATATATTTTCAAACAGTCTCATTGAAATCGGATCTTTTACTTGGATAAGCAATACCTATCTGTGTGTAGATCTGAGAAAGCCGCATTTCGGATAAGGTTTCAAAGATAATATTGGTTTCTGAGACACAGAAATCAGCTTGTCTGAACGCTTCGCTCACTAGAATTGAGAATTCAGAAGCCTGTAAGCTGATTGGTTGATTAGAAAGTGCACCAGACGTTATAATGTACGTGTCCTCCGATCTTTAAGCAAACATTGGCACGTTGCAAGCCACGTATTGCTTAGAGTTAGCAAATTAATTGCTGATCCCGGGGTCTGCAACAGCTCGAAGCACTTGCGCACTCTTCCAAAATCACGGCGCAACTACCTCTTGGTTGCCTTGCCCTAATGAAGAATGTAATAGAAGAGGTTTGATGACGAACTGAAAAAATTTATGACTACTTTGAAGATGGGGAGCAGACTAAGGATGATGGGGTGCTAGCTGCCTTTTCCTCTTTTACCAGTTGATCCAGTCAAGACATCAGTCAGCAATTAGTACAATTGCAAGTGGCTGAAACCGCTGTACATCGCTTCCAAGCGATTGGCGCTTTGCAACACACCCCGGGTGTCATATAACAGTAAAAGATGTGAGTTTCCTCAAAACATCCAGCATCAAGACTAACCTGCCCACACAGCCATGGTGTTCATTGCTGATGTTAGACAGGTACACACTTTGTACCATGGTGTTTCAGAACATACTTCAGACAAGAACCTTGGTTATAGCAGGTGATTCCATCTAAGGCCCAAATATTTCTGGCAAGCAGTCCAATGATGATGTCTTCACAGGTGGCACTGTTAGAAGGAGGTGGTTTTGGTACTGCAGAGAGCGCCCATTCTTGTAAGGTGTAATCAGTTCTGTCAAGTAGGCTGGAGCTAGATGGTTGACACATTTGTAGGCAAAGAGAAGAAGTTTGTAGTCAAGTCGTGCAGGTATCGGCAACCAGTGTAGGTTCTCTAGAATCGGGGTTATATGTTCAAATTTGTGGGTTCTTGTGACGATTCTTGCAGCAGCATTCTGCAGTAGTTGAAGTCGGTGTATTTGTTGTTGACTGATGTTTCTGTTGTTTTACCTTCATATTCTATGTGCAATCATTTGTAAATATTACCCTCAAGAGACTTGCCTTCATGTTTTAGTATTCTTTGGAAGTTTGTTTCCATTGTTCTACTCATGTTTTCAGTATTTTCTAAATAAATATGTGAAAAATATATAAATAATTTATCATTTTTTCTCAAAAAGCAAACATATTCTCAACAACAAAAGTTCCTGTGACACCAATATTTTAGTGTATTTTTCAAACAAGTAAAGTTTGGTTTTCAATTTTGTAGTACATGTATGGAATCAAGTCACAAAAACGCAACTGCTACAGAAAAGCATGCATTCCATGCAAAAGTTAACTTTTATGCAAGCCCCATGCATTTCACTACCCAAGCATGGGTGTAAAAACGTGCGTTAGCGGGATTCGATATGTATTGTTTAGCATCGTGCTGACAACAACCACTCAGAAAAACAACAAAATTACGCAATTATTCAACATTACGAAATGCCACGCCTGTCCGAAAATGAGCATCTGCGAGCCATTGGTATGCTTGAAGCAGGATCGAGTCAACATGATGTTGCAAGACAATTTAACGTCCACAGAAACACCATTTGGTGTTTATAGCAATGTTGGCAACAGACAAATGCAGTCAAAGACCATCCTTGGAATGGCAGGCCACACGTAACCAATAATCGACAAGACAACTGGATTCGAACAACACACCTACGAAATCGATTCCAACCAGCAACAGTGACTGCAAGAAGCATCCATGGCCTTCGACGGATATCTTCACAAACCCTAGGTCGTCGCCTCAGATGTGCAGGGATTGTCGCCAGAAGACCTGCCAGACGTCCCATTTTGACAGGAAACCACTGTCAAGCATGTCTACAGTGGTGCAGACAGCCTCTACCCTGGACAGCCATGCAGTGGGGACAAGTTCTATTCACTGACGATTCTCATTTTCACCTCAGCCACAGCAATGGACAGATTCGAGTGTACCGACGTCGAGGTGAACGTTATTTAAATCATTGTCTCATGGAAGAAGATCGGTTCGGGGACGGCAGCATTATGGTATGGGGTGGGATTACAGCAAGACAGAGGTCCTGTTTGATAGTGGTAGAGGGAAATCTCAATGGACAGCGCTACCCAGACGAGTTCATCGGCCTTGTTGTGCTAACCTTTTTGGGTCATCATGGCCCAGGCATTACCTTACAACATGACAACACCCGGCCTATATTGCTCGACTTGTTCAGGATTCTCTTCAACAAAACAACGTGAATGTCATCCCCTGGCCGGCTCGCTCCCTGATCTCTCACAAATCGAGTACATGTGGGATGAGATGGATCAGCGCCTTCGATGTTAGCCACGTGTTCCACAGACACTCCAGGAACTTTGGAACATGCTCCAGCAGATATGGACAGATATCCAAAGGACTTTGTGCGAGGAATCACCACACAGAGTTATTTGGGGTACTGGGGACCTATTGTGTCACAGAATCTCCACACAGAGACATTTGGGGTACTGGGGACCTATTGTGTCACAGAATCTCCACACAGAGACATTTGGGGTACTGGGGACCTATTGTGTCACAGAATCTCCACACAGGACATTTGGGGTACTGGGGACCTATTGTGTCACAGAATCTCCACACAGAGACATTTGGGGTACTGGGGACCTATTGTGTCACAGAATCACCACACAGAGACAGTTGGGGTACTGGGACCTATTGTGTCACAGAATCACCACACAGAGACATTTGGGGTACTGGGACCTATTGTGTCACAGAATCTCCACACAGCGACAGTTGGGGTACTGGGACCTATTGTGTCACAGAATCTCCACACAGCGACAGTTGGGGTACTGGGGACCTATTGTGTCACAGAATCTCCACACAGCGACATTTGGGGTACTGGGGACCTATTGTGTCTCAGAATCTCCAGACAGAGACATTTGGGGTACTGGGGACCTATTGTGTCACAGAATCACCACACAGCGACATTTGGGGTACTGGGGACCTATTGTGTCACAGAATCACCACACAGAGACATTTGGGGTACTGGGGACCTATTGTGTCACAGAATCACCACACAGCGACATTTGGGGTATTGTGTCACAGACCAAAAACAATAACTAACAACCCCCATGCTTTATGTGTCAATATTTTGTCATTATTGACTGATCCAACCTGACAGGGTACTTGGTTTATAGTTGGCCCCCTTGTGCGGATTCTGTGTAGGAAAAGAGGTCCCCTGCCATCTCGCCTGGTGGGGCGACCAAATGGATCAATCTGTCAGGCTTGGTGGCTTGTGTGTCTGGACTGGAATATTGCAGCGTTAAACAACAAACCAACAAAGCTTATGTTGTTTTTCCTTTTTTTGTGATGATCGACCTCATCTGTCATTTCAAGACATTTCCATGAACTTATATTTCACCCCTGGTTATTGAGGAAAACACGAGTACCATGTGCGACGATGGAAGCCTGGTTATTGAGGAAAACATGAGTACCATGTGAAACGATGGAAGCCTGGTTATTGATTCTCAGTGTGGAACCATCACAATAGACATCCACTTAGGCTTGTTACGATGTAAGTTTGTCAACTCGGCATTGTTGAGCCGATGAACTCAAGAACGACAGGTTCATCAGCAGACAATTAAGAGTCAGCACGGCAACAAGTGGTCGATATTCCACCTATCACCAGTCCCGAGTATCCGCTCGGCCAATAGTACTGCACTGATAGATCTCATTACCGCTCAACCATTAACAAAACAGTATGTACAAACTTGTCCGAGTGTTTGCAGCGACAGCTTCATCATCACTTTCATTAACAAATAAATCAATCATTCATGTGGGAAGAGAAAACCGCAACATTCTCAGGACCATTCAAGCGTGGACAACCTTCACCTTCCATAGATTATTTGGTGCTGCTTCAATGACTTGCCGAGTGCAGCGACCACATGGAGAGAAGATCGAACTGTGCAGCTAGCAACTGGCTAAATATTTATGTTAGAGATTCTTCTCCACAGCAGCATGACAACACCATAATGGTCTGCCGATATCACTTTCATTCATCGTCACACCTCTTAAGCATGAATACACTGACATACTCGAGGGTCCAGATGGGGTGTATTGTTTGGCGTGTAAACTAGTGTAAACGTAACGTGTCAAATTTGTATTGTAAACTATTAACTTAAAATGTCCATTTAAAAATGCTTAGCGTAAATTAAAACGTTGCTGTTCATCGTGTTAAAATCTCATAAACGTTGAATATAAAACAGCAAAACCAGTCAGTGTTTGGTAGTTTTGCAAAACACGAGTAATGACATGAAAGCAGGACCAGTAGCCCCCATGTTTACCTACAAACTGACTGACGATCCGCATTCGCATAGAGGATTTCACATTTTAGATTCACCCTGACAGCTTGTCCCCTATTTGTGTGTGTTTTAACTGACTAAGCCGAAAGAAAATGATGACTAGCGACTAAAGCCAGTCCCCTGAAGATCTGGGGTAGAATAGGTCCTACAAAAACCTATGCTTGTCCCCCTTGAAAATCTAGGGTAGAATAGGTCTTCAGCAACCCATGCTTACTGAAAAAGGTGACTATACTCGTGTGAGGTAACTAACAGGTTCCAGTGGTCAGGCTTGGTTGATGCATGTCATCATATGCTAGGATCCAATTGCGTGGATCGATGCTCATGATGTCTACCACTGGATTGTCTGGTCCAGATTCGATTATTTACAGATTGCCACCATATAGCTGGAATATTGCTGAGTGCGGAGTTAAACAACAAACAAACAAACAAGACAAAAGACTAAAGGCAGAAAATGTGGCGCTCCCATGTAGACCCTCCTACTCATTCCCATGACGCAGTCCATGGATGTCTGCAGTGGGTGATGCACCACTCAAGCAGTAATGTAATTAATTTATATAATTACAATCCAATCACACTTTACATATTCAGAAGCTGTTTTTTGTAAACTTAATGATTAATATTCTCATCACTGCATTGATTTTATCTTTAATACAGACATATTTTTATATTTCCACAAACTTGGTCACACATAAACGCACACATCATCAAAAAGTTGCTGACTGAGCAATATATCTCAGAATTAAAAGTTTCTTCTCCTGTGTACATCAGTGACATATATATCTTGGTACGTGGAGTGAGTGAGTGAGTGAAGGAGTTATGATGGTTTTACACAGCTTATAACAATATCCCAGCACTATCACAGTAGGGGACACCAGAAATGGGCTTCACACATTGTACACATGCAGGAAATTGAACCTGGGTCTTCGGTGTGACGAGCAAACACTGTAACTACAAGGCTTCCCAACTGCTCTTGGGTATGTGGAGAAAACTTGGCAAGAAATATATTTTTTATATACTTTCTTAATTTTAATTCAGATATCCTATTTGCTTGAATATAAATTCAAAATTCAACTTAGTGTCACATCCTGACATCACAAAGCCCATCAACACATACGCATCTGTACATTTATTCATATGAATTCCACCATTTCGGAGTATGTTAAACATATCAAACTTATTTACAAGATCCATAAAGAAATGCACAGTCAAATGAGTATTGTACACACGATTCATTCATTCAGAATTCATGCAAAATGAATGACATACGCCTTTATAAACATTTAGTTTGTTCCGGTGCAAATGCACTAGACAAAAGGTAATTCATTCAATACGTATGACAGAACACCCCAACAACAAAGCCACAACAAAAAATCTGTATAAAACACTTTTTCTGATTTACTATCAGTAGAACAGTCTGCCTAAACTTTGTGTATGATATAAGCAGAAGTTGGCACGAACACAACGATAAAACCACTCATCCGTCTAAACTGTACTCCGCCTGCTACTCATATTAACACCTACCTACAATATCACCATCACATTTGGTTTTTCATTTTATTGCTGTGTTCAGGTCGTCTATCATCATAGCAGCAGTATCATGAATGAAGCCGCTATAGGTGATTGTACTAGCCCTACACACGCTTGTACTGGCCCTACACACGCTTGTACTAGCCTCTTGTACTGGCCCTACACCCACTTGTACTAGCCTCTTGTACTAGCCCTACACACGCTTGTACTAGCCTCTTGTACAAGCCCTACACATGCTTGTACTAGCCTCTGTAACTGGCCCTACACA